TGAATCATCAATTATCCTGTACCTGTTCCCAAAAGAAGTTAAATTTGCATTAACTTATCTATTCCCTCTCAACCAGTCCTCCTCCTTGAGAAAATCTTTTAATATTCCCTTGTAAAATAGATGATCTGAGTTACAGGTATAGCTAAAATAAAGCTATTGTCCCCAAAAGGAAATGAATCTATAGCTTTGTCTAGTGAGACCATATAAGGAAGCATGTGGTCTGACTGCCCTCACATTTAGTTTCAAAAAGCAGCAGTTAAACTATCTGAACATGGAATGATTCACTGGTAAGATCTGCTTATGTCCACTCAGTTGATTCTCATTTGCAAAATGTCATTAGATCACTAACATCTAATAGGTAGATCAACTCAGTGTTCTCAGGGGTAAACAGGTGTCTCACAGCTGGGAGCAGCCAGAGAGCCAACATACAATAGTGAACCATGTTTTCTGAAGTTAGCTCTGATGATTCTAATATTGAAAAACATTATTCCATACAGGAAATTTTCAAAGGATATACAGGAACTTGATCAATGGAACCAAATTCGGTAAATTGAATCCCCAAACCCAAAGGATGGAATGGCCATACCACTAGAAAATTCAAAAGGTAGAATTTTGTTTCACTGTAACCATTGAATGATAGTGTATAGAATTCCATCTCTATAGTTGAAATTATACCCCCACCCAACTTACAACTGGATCTGTAGTTTTATATCTTGCATAGATAGTATAATTATGTCTATAAATTACCCCATCAAGGTGAACAAAGATGAAATGATGCTGTGCTTGTTTTTAATATTTCTGCCTGGCATCAGATGGACTCAGTCAAACTATGAACCTAATTCTCTACTCCAACAGTAAGAAGTGACATAAAACTATCAAAGATAACTTTTACAACACAATATACATTTAAATACTGAATTCCAAATTATACTTCCAGAAGAAAGCTTCCATTATGGTTTATATTTGGTAAAATGATTAGTTCTCTAATGAGGAAGGGCTCCACTTGCCCATTGTTTCAGCATTAGCACTACTTTTCCCAACTTACCTCATGAAGCCTTGGATAAGGCAACTGATTTCCAACTACAGGTATACCTTGGAGGTACTGAGTTTGGTTCTAGACCACTCAAATAAAGTGAATATTACAATAAAGCATATCACACAAACTTTTTGGATTCCCAGTGAATATAAAAGTTATGTTTATACTATACTGCAGACTATTAAGTGTGAAATAGCATTATGTCCAAACTGTTATCTGAAAAGGTTCATTCCTTAATTAAAAATACCTTATTACTAAAAAAATGTTAGCAAACATCTGAGCCTCCAGTGAGTCATAATCTTTTTGCTGGTGAAGGGTCTTGCCTCAGTGTTGATGACAGCTGACTAATCAGGATGGTGGCTAATGAAGGTTGGGATGAGTGTGGCAATTTATTAAAATAAGGGAACAATGAAGCTTGCAGCTCCAATTGACTCTTTCATGAAAGATTTATCTGTAGCACGCAATGCTGTTTGATAGTATTTTATCCACAATAGAACTTCTTTCAAAATTGGGGTCAATTCTCTCAAATCCTTCATCTGCTTTATCAATTAAGTTTATCTAATACTCTCAATAATTTGTTGTCTTTCCAATAATGTTCACAGCATCTTCACTGAGAGATTTAATCTCAAGAAACCACTTTCATTGCTCATCAATAAGAGCAGCTCCTTGCCCATTTAAATTATATCATGAGATTACAGCAATTCAATTTCATCTTTGGGCTCTACTTCTATTTCTAGTTCTCTTGCTATTTCCACCATATTTGCAATTACTTCATCCACCAAAGTCTTGAATCCCTCAGTCACCCATGAGGGCTAGAATCAACTTCTTCCAAACTGCTGTTGATGTTGATATTTAGACCTCCTCCCACAAATCAGGAATGTTCATAATAGCAACTAGAATAGTGAGTCCTTTCCAGAAGGCTTTCAATTAACTTTGCCTAGATCCATCAGATAAATCAGTATCTGTGGCAGCTATCGCCTTACTTATATATATCCGTATATATTTCTTTAAGAATAAGACTTGAAAGTTGAAATTACTCCTGATCCATGAGCTGCAGAGGAATGTTGTATTAGCAGGCATGAAAACAGCATTAATCTCCTTGCACATTTCCATCAGAGCCCTTGGATGACCAGGAGCATTGTCAATGAGCAGTAGTATTTTCAATCTTTTTTTCTAAGATCTCAACAGTGTACCTAAAATATTCAGTAAACCATGCTACAAACAGAAGTGTTGTTATCTAGGCTTCATTGTTCCAGTTATAGAATACAAGAGGAGTAGATTTAGAATAATTCTTAAGGGCCCCTGGATTTTCAAAATGGTAAACAAGCATTAGCTTCATGTTGAAGTAAACAGCTGTATTAGCCCCTAACAAGAGAGTCAGCCTGTCTTTTGAAGCCAGGCATTGACTTTTCTTCTGCAGCTATGATAGTCCTAGATGGTATCTTCTTCCAATATAAAGCTGTTTCATCTACATTGCAAATCTGTTGTGTGGTTTAGCCACCTTGATCAATTATTTTAACTAGATCTTTTGGATTGCTTGCTGCTTCACCTGGAACTTTTATGTTACAGAGATGGCTTCTTTCATTAAACTTCATGAACTGACCTCTCCTAGCTTTAAACTTTTCTTCTGCAGCTTCCTCAGCTCTTTCAGCCTTTGCAGAATAAAGAGAGTTAGGGGGTTGCACTGGATTAGGTTTTGGTTTGGGAATGTTCTGGCTGGTTTGATTATCTATCCATACCACTGAAACTTTCTCCACATCAACAATAAGGTTGTTTTACCTTCTTGTCATTTGTGTGTTCACTGGAATAGCACTTTTAAAACCTTTCAAGAAATTTTCCTTTGCATTTACAACTTGGCTACTTGTTCGGCACAAGAGGCATAGCTTTCACCCTGTCTTGCCTTTTGATATGCCTTCCTCACTAAGCTTAAACATTTTTAGCTTTTGATTTAAAGTGAGCGATGTGTGACTCTTCCTTTCGCTTGAACACTTAGAGGCTATTGTACAGTTATTAATTGGCCCAATTTCAACATTGTTGTGTCTCAGGTAATAGGGAGGCATGAGGAGAGGGAGAGAAACCAGGAGCTGCCAGACAGTGGCAGATATTACGCTTTGCAGATATTGTGTCTTTTATAAATTGAAGGTTTGTGGAAACCCCGTGTCCGGCAAGTCTGTCGTCATCATTTTTGCAACAGCGTGCACTCACTTTGTGTTTCTGAGTCACATTTTGTAAATTCTCATAGCATATCAAAGTTTTTCATTGTTTTGATGTGCCACAAACTGTGCCCATATAAGATGGTGAACTTAATCCATAAATGTTGTATGGGTTCTGACTTCTCCACTGTCTGGCAATTCCTGGTTTCTCTCCCTCTCCTCATGCCTCCCTATTACCTGAGACACAACAATGTTGAAATTGGGCCAATTAATAACTGTACAATAGCCTCTAAGTGTTCAAGTGAAAGGAAGAGTCACACATCGCTCACTTTAAATCAAAAGCTAAAAATGTTTAAGCTTAGTGAGGAAGGCATATCAAAAGGCAAGACAGGGTGAAAGCTATGCCTCTTGTGCCGAACAAGTAGCCAAGTTGTAAATGCAAAGGAAAATTTGTTGAAAGGTTTTTAAAGTGCTATTCCAGTGAACACACAAATGAAAAGAAGGTAAAACAACCTTATTGTCAATGTGGAGAAAGTTTCAGTGGTATGGATAGATAATCAAACTAGCCAGAACATTCCCAAAGCAAAGTGCAATCAATAGAAGAAGGTATGCCTATAATGTGACAGGGTTTAGTTTATGTAAATAGCTTCTTTCAGGTTATTTTAGAAATCTGTGATAAACGACTACCCTAAGTAAAATATGGACTACTCTGCACTGTCTCCACAGCTACAACACTAGTTCTCTTAGGCAAGAACTTTCTTCAGTGCTTCTGCGACCACACACACCTGAGACGCTCCTCCACAGCAGAAACACTGAGTTGTGAGGTACTCACTAACTTATCACTGAGTGCTCAATACTTCCTGAGTGTTATTTTACGCTCCTTCAGGAAGCCCTGAAACCTCCCAGAGTTATTTCCAAAGTTATTAAGGGTAAGCTTACCTCTGTGGGAAAGAGGTGAGAGGCGGGAAAAGGACCAAGCTATTGGAAGGCCAGTTTCAGCACAATACAGGTAGTTTTCCTCTCATCTTAAAGTTACTCACATTTCCTTTGAAAGTTTTGAAACTTTTTTGAAGGAAATAAGCTTCACTCGTACCGAATTAGTGGCTGCTTTCTACAAGCAGTAAAATAGACACTTTTTGAGAAGTCTTTTTTTGCCTTCTGACTAAAGCCACAAATCATTTACGCTCAACCCCCGTTCGTGGGAAGCCGCACCCCTCCTTCGGTGTTCCAGCCAATCCTGCGTTCTTGAATGCGGTGAGGTGGGGCAGAGCTATCGCGATACTCCAACTGTAGCCTTAGCGGGGCCTTTGCTGTGTGCACTTGCGCAGAAGAGACGCATAAAGCCAGTGCGGGAGAAAGGGGGCGAGGCGCTGCGACGTGCGCGTTCACCTGACCCCACGCTCCGGCGCGCGCCCAGCATCTAAGCGCTGTGGTTTCTGGGCCCCACGGGAACCCTAACACAACCCAGCATAAAGTGCGCGTGCCCACCTCAGGCGGGTGTTCGGTGAGTGGCAAAGGCGTGCCCGGGATCTGCTGGGGCATTAGAAGGACCCAGGCCTGGTGCAGAAGACTCAGGAGGGGGTGAGAACCAGCCTAGATAGGCGTTTGGGTGATGGAGGGTCAGGGGTCAGAGGTCGGGGAGGGAAGACGTCTCTGGCCTCCCGGGCAGCCGAGGGAGGACTCCGGTTGTCCCGGAGCCCGGGAAGCTCAAGGGCTGAGAGGGAGCCGCAGCGCGAGTGTCTCCCACTCCTTCCCCGTCCCAGACGTGCGGGCCTCTGGACCGCCGCGGCTCTCCGGGGAGAAGGTGGAGGCTGTGGGAAAGGAGGCCGTGTTTTTTCCCCGGGGATTGGGGCCTGCGGTATATTTTCCGAGCGTCCACACTCAAGTATCCGAGGGTCCATCGTCGCGCTCCTCAGCCTCGCGGTAGCTTGTTTGCCGGCCTATTGGGAGCGGGGCGGGGCTGACGGCACGGACTCCCGGAACCGCTTTCGGGTCTTTGGGAGGATAACTGAGTGAGTGTCACCATTTGCCTCAGATGTGCCACTGGAGGCCCGAGCTGGGCGACCTCCCAGACCTTTGTGCGCAGGATATTGTGTGGTAAAAGAGGAGGCAGAGGCTTCTAAGTTAGTCTGCCTGAAAGTTCTCAGTTACCTTTGGAGTCAGATTAATTACATTCGCATTCAGAACCATCCTAGCGTCATTGTTCATTTTGACTTGTAGTTGCTACGTTTATGAAGGAAGATGGGGTGGTGTTTGATGATCACCGTACAATACAGTATTATTAAATAATGACCATTAATTTTGTACCCTTTTTCCAGGTTGCTTGACAGCACGAGGTAGAGATCCCAGGTTTTATGGTTTCCTACTTATACTTAAAGTGAGACTGTACGGGAACAAAATAAAATAATTTTAAAGTCATTACTGCTATTTTTAAGTATTCTAGTGGGCAGTAATAGGAATGATGAAACTTTCTATAATAGAAATGATCGATTTGGCTTATGCGTATTGGCAGCAGAGCAGTGAGCTGTATTGGAATCATTGCATCTATTCTGGATATCCTGCACTTCCTAGAACTTTGAAGGACCGGTTAACCAATAGCTGACAGTCGAGAATAAAATAGTTTACTGTTAAAAGATGCTTTTGTATATCCTCTTTTGCCTGGCCTAAAAGAACTGGATTTATATATAGGATTAAACCAAATATTTCATTAAGAATTTAGACTAGAAAAAGTAAAGGGAAACAGAATCTGCTGGTGAAAAAACTGCTATGAGAGCATTCATAACTAACATATTTTAGGGTTCAGTAAATGAAAATACTCTCACCTTGCTGGAATTATCCCTACAGAAAAGGAAATGACCGTGGTAATGCTAGACCATTAAAAGCATTCCAGTACTCAGTAATGGCTGAATTTTACTTGCCTAAGGCAACTGTCTTGGACAGCATTATGGCAGATGTATATTCTTTGTTGCCTTTGATAGCCTTAACTCTGGTCTCTTATGGATTTGTAGTAATTCAGGATTTCTGTTTTAATGTAGAGATAATAATTTGGAGGGAAAAATTTGAATTTAGGCTTATTATTCATTTGTTGAATTTTCTAGTAACTTAACATTTATCTTTATTTTTCTATCAATCCATCTTTGTTTTCTATTAAAGATACAGTCCAGTCAGTTTTGACTGCTTCATTCTGGGCCAGAAGTACTAAAGAATAGTTTCATATTACCTGTAGTCTTCTAGAGAGTGGATAAGAGAGACTTCTCCAAAAAGAAATGTGAGTAAATTATTGTTAGACCCTTAAAACAAGGAAAGGTATCTAGGGAGTTAAAGATCTTTGTTTCACCTTATTTTGTATATCATTTACATCCTGGCACTGACTTGTCATTGGGAGTACAACACTGAATAGGATGCTGCTCCTGCCCAGCTTTCACGTAGTCCAAAGTGAACACTATAGCAGTTGGAATTGAGTAGGAGAGTGAGGTCCTTAACTCAGCTTCCCTGGTCATGGAAGGCTTTTGGGGAAAATTGGGTCAGTGACAAGCAGAAAAATTTGAAAGAGCAATTGAAGTGAAAGGCTTTTTACATTTAAACCTAGGGCAGTAAAAGTGTGGTCCATATAGAAAACTTCCCATAATCATATTTTACCCAAACATTGCTATTTAAGGATTAGGAGGAAGAAGTAGAACCCTTGATGGTATTGGTGAGGTATGAGGAAAACCAGGCTGACATAGAAGTTCACCATTAATTGACTTACTAGCTGTCAAGTAGCATTTTCGTTGTAAACATCTTTGACCAAATAATATCTTCTTTAGTTCAAAAAGTTATCCCTAATTAGAGATTAGAGAATCAAACAAAGCCAGCTTTTTTTTTTTTTATCATGAATGTTTTGTCTCAGTTGAGAACCAGACAAAAGGAGAGGCTTGCTAGAAATTCTAGTATTAACTTTTCTTCAGCTTATCATTATCACTGATAAGTACTCATAGGCTGTAATATTAGAAGAATCAGGTTGAGAGCAAACATCTGAAGAAATGCAAATTATGGTAGTTTATATAATTTATAAGATACTGGATAGGTTTTAACAGAGAACAGAATAGTTAAAGAAATGTGATCAGGTTCAATAATATCTCTGTTATAAGATTGTTGTAAGAAATAGGGCACATTTTACTTTTACTCACATTGCATTGGCTAGGACTGGTCATGGTTGCATACTAAGCTAGACCACCATTTTCCAACTATACTTAGAAAGGCAAGAAATGGACTTTAATAGGCTGCTGCTTATCCAAAACAATGTTTCTCAAACTGGACTACACACTAGAACTTTTTAGTGAGTCTATAATAGGCATAGTGCCTGGGCACTACCTCTAGGCATTCTGATTTAATTGGCTGGGCATCAGAATTTTTTAAAGTTCCCCAGTGTGCAGTCAAGTTTGAGAAGCACTCATCTATAATTCCCCCATTCTGCCCCATTAGTGTTTGGTTATTGCAAAGTGTAATTTAGGGTATTCTCAGCATGATAATAACAACTACCACTTATTGAATACATGCTAAATTTCTGGTGCTGTGCTATTATACTTAAATTATTCCTAACCACATTATCCGCATTTTAGAGATAAGAAAACTGACATGGAAAGGTTAGATAACTATTCCAGTGGCACACAATGAGTAAATACCAAAGCTATTAGAATCTTAAGACTTCAAAGCTCACATTCTCACATTTAAACTATATAGCCTGCAGATGTGAGACTATAGCCAATTGCTTAGGGGGCTTTCAGAGTTAACGATTCCATATTTACTATGTTACTAATACTTTGGGCAGTGTGATACATTGTTATAACCAGCCCAATCTTCTTTCTCACCCCTCATATTCTTGTTCTTTGCCATGTGTAGTTCTTCATTTCCACCCAGTAAAGAAGTGTATATTTCCCCACCTCTTGACTTTGAGTCCTTGAATGTGACTTCAATCTTAGTGGTTTTGATATACCAAGCACTTGGAAAAGTACTTGTGTGATTGGATTAGTGCTCTTTCTTCTCAGTAATTGCCTTGAGAAGATTCCTGGGTTACTTTGCTCTTTCAGGAGTAAGATAAAAACTACACTACTCTTCCAGAAACCTAGCCTGGATCAACTGCCCTGAGCTACCCTGCAGATCTGTGAGAATAAATGATGCTGTCTCAAGGCATTAGACTATGTTATACAGCATGTTTGTGGCAGTAGTTACCTGATAAGCTGGTATATCCTATCTTCTTAATGTTCCAACAGAGTGGCCCAATTCCAGTACTCCAGCCTGTGCTCTGAGGAGAACTGGACAAAGATAAACACTTAGGAAATTAAGAGTTTTCTATATTATAGTTCCAAGATAAAAGAAAGTATGAAATGCTTAAAAAGTAGTTAACCATAGCCAGAGATTGATTTTAATCTATCAACTATAGATTTACAAACCAAACACTAGCTAAGGGAATGGAATTCTCGTGATTGACCAGGACTGTTTGATTGATAGACTTTTTGCAGTTATGTGAATGTTCTGCATTTGCACTGTCTAATACAGTAGCCACTAGTCACATATGGCTGTTGAGTACTTGAAGTAGGGATAGTGAGACTGAGGAGCTGAGTTTATAATAATAGTTAATTTTCTTTACAGTATGCATCGCCTAATGATGGTGATACATTCTGAGAAATGTGTCATTAGGCAATTTTGTTGCTGTGTGAACATCATAGATTGTAGTTACACAAAACTAGATGGTACAGCCTACTGTACACCTAGGCCATATAGCCTGTTGCTACTAGGCTACAAACCTGTAGCATGTCACTGTACTGAATACTGTAGGCAATTGTAACACAGTGATAAATATTTGTGTATCTAAACATATCTATACATTAAAAAGGTACAGTAAAAATATAGTATAAAAGATAAAAAATGGTATACCTGTATAGGGCACTTAACATGAATGAAGCTAGCAGGCCTGTAAGTTAGTTGCTCTGGGTGAGTGAGTGATTGATAAGTGAATGTGAAGCTCTAGGACCTTACTGTATACTACTGTAGACCTTATAAACACTGTATACTTAGGCTACACTAAATTTATGCACAATCAAGTAATTATGCTATGACGTTATGATGACTACAACATTACTAGTACATAGAAATTTTTCTGCTCTTTTATAATGTTGTGGGATCACCCTGATATTTGTGGTTTGTTGTTGACCAAAATGTTATACAATGTATGACTATATTTAAACTTAAATAGCCACGTGCAACCAGCAGCTCCTTTGTTGGATTTGCTTTGGCCAACAGTAAATGGAAGCTACGTCCTTGGGGCTGCCAAGGAAACCACCCACCTTTGAGTCATAGGGCTGCCATTTTCATAAATGAAAGACAGGTTCTGTCACCAAGGAGGGGAGATAGATCTGAGATAGGTGGGTAGGTAATGTTACTACAGTTTAGTTTATAGTTATTGGTCTATTTAGATTTTCTATTTCTTGGGTCAATTTTGTTCATTTATATTTTGTGAGGAAATTGCTCATTTTATCTAGATTTTTCAAATTTATGAGAATAAAGCTGTTCTTAATATTTTCCTAAAAATTTTAAATCGTCTGTTTCTACTTTTTGTTTTTGTTTTATAAATCAGCTTTATTAAGTTATAATTCTATATATAATAAAATTCAACAGTTTTAAGTGTACAATTTGATGATTTGACAAATATGTAGTGTACAATCATGTGTAGAACCTTTCTGTTAGCCAAAAGCTTTTTCTGCACCTCCTTTGACTTTTCTAGAATTTCATGTATGTGGAATCATGCAGTATGTAGTCTTTCACATCTGGCTTCCTTCACTTAGCATAATGCTTTAAAAATTCATTTGTGTTACTGTATATATCAGTTTTGTTATTACCGAATAGTATTCCATTGTGTGGATTTGCCACAATTTGTTTAATCCATTCACCAGTTGATGGACATTTGGGTTTTTGTTTTTTTTTCCAGTTTTTGGCTTTTATTAATAAACTTGCTATTAACATTCAAGTTTCTTTTTTGTGGATTTACGTTTTTATATCTTGGGTAAATACCTAGGAGTGGGATTACTAGGCTGTATAGAAAGTGTGTATTTAATTTTATTAAATAAACTTTTTCAAAGTGATTATGCTATGTTGGAATGTGTGAAGCTCAGTTCTGATTGCTCCACACTCTCAGTTTTTTAAATTGTAACCATTCTAGTGCATATATAGTGGCATCTTATTGTGTTTTGGGGTTGAATTTGCATTACCTTAATTACTGATGATGGTGAAGATATTTTCACGTGCTTATTTTTTCTTTGGTGAAATGTAATTTTTGCCTAGTTTTTACATAAGATTTTTTGTCTTACTGTTGATTTGCAAGAGTCCTGTATCCTGTATATACTCTGCAAACAAATCCTTCATCAGATATTTGCTTTGTTAATATTGTCTACCATCCATGGCTTCCTTATTTCCACAACAGTATCTTTTGAAAAGCCAAAGTATTTAATTTTGATGAAACTTGATTATCATTTTCTAACATTGTCTCTGTTTTTTCTGTCGTATTTAAAATTATTTGTGCCCTTTTGTTTTTGTTTTGCCTAATCCAATGTCATTTAGATTTTTCTCTTCTGTTTTTTTTAGAAGTATTATAGGTTCAGCTTTTATATTTTAGTTTATTATTTATTATAAGTTAATTCTTATATATGTTATAAGGTAAAGCTCAAAGGCTCATTTTTTTCTTTTTTTGCATATGGATGTCCATTTATCGACGGGGTATACTTTCACCATTGACTGCCTTGAACTTCTTTCAAAAATCAATGCACCATATATATGTGGGTCTCTCATAGGACCCTTTATTTTGTTCCATTGATCTATATGTCTCTTTTTATACCATTACCACACTCTTTTGGTTACTTTTGACATACATCTTGGAATCAGTTTAAGTCATTCAGCTTTATTCTTTTCTAAAATTATTTTGACTCTCTATATCCTATATTTCAATATAAATTTTAGAATCAACTTGGCAATTTCTACAAAAGAAGCCTGTTGAAATTTTGGATGGGATTACTTTGATTCTATACATCAGTATCAAAGAATTGACATCTGGATATTTTAAGTCTTCCAGTCCATGAACATAGTACGGAATACAATCTATGATCATAGAACTGTACTATTTTCTCTATTTTTATGTATGTTTGAAAATTTTCAGTTAAAAAGTTTAAAAATGTTTTTAAAATAGCCAATTATCTTTTAAAGAAATTCAAAATTAAGGAAAAAATTATATTTACATACATTTTTCACATATGCTTTTTACTCTCGTGTAGATCCAGATTTCCATCTAATATCATATTTCTTCTACCTGAGAATTTCTTGTAACATTTCTTATAGTATAGATCTATAGATGATAAATCCTCTTGGCTTTTGTCTTTTTTTCCTGTTCATTTTTGAAAGATATTTTGCAGAGTTTAGAATTTTAGGTTGGGAGAAGTGTCTAAGGCAGAAAGATTAGGCTAATCTGGAGAGAAGTTCTTGCTTTTCAGCAGTGGCATACCTTGTTGTGATTGTCCTTATGTTTGCCCTGATTGGATTTCTTTTAGCTTCTTGGTTTTCTGGGTTAATAGTTTTTATTAAATTTGGAAATTTATCATGCATGTTTTTAAAAATATTTTTTCTTAGTCTCTCCCAGCTTTTCTGCTGAGATTCTAATTCCATGCATGTCAAATTGCATGACATTGTCCAGTAGGTCTCTGATTCTTTGTTTATTGTTTTTTCAGTCTTTGTTTATCCTCCTACTTCATTTTCTATAGTTTCTAGTGTTACTGGGTTTAAGCTCACTCTGCTCCCCCCCCCACCATGTCTAATCCACTGTTCATCTCATACAGTGTATTTTTTATTTCAGATATTGTTTTTCAATCTACATAAATGCCATTTGTGTCTTTTGTATTATATCTTTTTTCTTCGTTATCCTCATGCTTTCCTCTACCTTCTTGAACTTGTTGAGAATATTTACAATAGCTGTTTGAATGTTTGTGTCTGCTAATTATATCATCCATGTCATTTCTGGGTATTTTTATTTTTTCCTTCTTGTCATGGCTTTTATTTTTCTGTTTCTGTGTATGCCTGGTGGTTTTTTATTTGATACCAGATATTTGTGTTAAAGTCAGGATGGGTCCAGAGCAAATGAGGTTTTTAGTCTAAATCTTTAACAGTTAGTCTAAGACTAATTTAGGCATGCTAGTACGGCAGCTTTCACTTCTGAGAACTCTGCATGTTCCCTTCAGTATTAGAGAGTCTTTTCACAAACTTTTCCTGGCTATGTATGAGCTCCAGGGATTGTTCTACCTATTTCTGGTTGTTCTTTCTCAATTTTTGAATATTTCTTTCATACAGAAACACAAACCATTACCCACTCAGAGACTTGAAGAACTCTTCCACATATCTACAAAGCACTCTCTTTGTGCAGCTTTTTTTCCTCTGGTATTTTGCCCCACAAATTCTAAATTCTGTCTCTTTAACTCAAATGAGACCGCTGGGTTCTGTTTGAGGTCCTCCCTTCCTCTGCTCTTCCTGGAAACTTTCCTAGGGATAAGCTGGGGCAAAGGCAGCCAAGTATTCTGGTTTGCCAGGATACAGTGATCACTTTCAGTGATAGAGTACTAGGCAAACCAGGAATAATTGGTTACCCAAGCTGGTATTGTAGGAGAGTGTACTTCATTTGTTTCACTTCTTTCAGGGATCACTGTAACAGGTGCTTTGTAGCTTTACCCATTCTGCTATTGAATCATTGGCCAATTTTTTTTCCTGTCAAATTTAAGTAATATAGTTTGCTTTTCTAAAATTGCTCAACAATTTTTATAGCCATTTTTGTGTGTTACTACTTTCTGCTTCTGTTTCATGAAAACAATATATTATCTCTCTGCAGATATGATATTGATTATATGTATTATAAAGTTGTATTTGACTTGTTTCATCTGGTTTTTTTTAGGTGAAAGTTTGTCTTTGTTTGTTTATTCTTGTTGGAGATCCATAAATGTTTGATTGTTGATTGTGAGCTCATCTTTGCAGTTCAGACTTCCTATGTCACTTTTTACTTTTTTTTTCTGCTTGTGCAGCTTGCTTAAGAGGAGGGTCAGAAGCAGCTGCTAAGCCATGTCTTCTGCTGTGTTCAATGAGTGGAAATTGGTGAGACCCCTCTATAGGCAGAGTTTATTGTCATCTGCTTTTTCTTCTGTACTCAGTAACAAAGAACATCTCTCCAGGTTAGGTACTGTTTCTCACCAGAAAATAGATACCCCCATAACAGCTGCCTTGCCTTTAGGAGAGATAGGGTAGGTAAGGGCCTGGCAATTCCCACTATATTACTCTGCTATTATCTATGTTTGTGACCCTGGACCCACTTAGGTTCCACCACCAGGTTCACTACCATTGAGTAGGGAAGGCCTCTTGATGACGCTCACATCTTTTGTGCTAATACATTCATGCTGTCACTTAGCTTTTCTGTCTGCTTCCCTCTGTGGTGTTCTTTAGGAATTCTTCAAAGTTTCTGGTCAACTGAGATTTCCCCTAGTAGTTTGTTTTATTTCATTTTATTTTAAACAGGGTTATGTATTCCTGAATTGTTTTTTAAAAACACATTTCTCATTCTTTTCTAGATTTGGAGTTAGTAAGGATAGAAGGGTGTAGACTGCTCTGTGTGATTGATCACTTTGTCATCAAGACACCCAAACACAATTTATAAGGTATTGTCTTTGCGGAATTAGAATCCATGATTTGATTTATACTTTTTTGGCATCCTCCCCTAAAATACAACACAGTATGGAGTACTTAATACCTGATTGGACTATATTCAAAAATGGAATTGTTGAGAATATTTCTTAAACTACATTTGAAGCCAGATTTTAATTGTTTATACCCATTATTTTTTTCAGCTACTAGGCTGGAATAGACAGTCAGACATCATGTCTTTATTATTTAATGTCTGTGAGTTGCTCTGTTTTTCACATACAAATTAGCTATTGTTTTGGGGAAAGTATAATTTGGAACCTACCTCAGATAGATTGCTTTCAGCCCAATTTCCTCTTTTGAGATGACCAAATTTTCTTTGCTTTTTTCTTGCTTTTTTTTTCCTTCTATTCTCTCTGCCCCATTTCCCCTGGTTGCCATCACCACCTTATTCCTTGCCCAGCTCTTTTTGTCTGCTAATTCATAAAAAGAAATACATGTCTGTATTTTCATTTTCACCTCTTGAAAAAGAAGATACGTATTTTAGGCATTTTTAATCTATGTAAGGGTTGAGTGAAGTTTTGTTAACCCTTTGGGATTATAAAATAAAATTGAAATTTTGTAGTGATGACAGTAGTTTAAATGTTACTAAAACACTTCAAATAAACATTTCATTTCAAGGCTCTATTATGTTGCTTACTAGGTATCTTGTTGGAATTTATTTTATTTTGTACAACAAAGTATCTTTATCCATTAAAGAGTAAAACCATTAGAAGTTATTTGATACATGAGATTATAGTTAATGTGTTCTTAGTTGTATTTGACTTAGTAAAAAAAGTTACACATTGCTTTTTATGTATCCTTCTGAAGATTTCATGTTATGTGTATGGACTATAGAGTTTATGCTGAATTTCTCATCTGGGAACACTTAAATACTAAAATCCTCTCTGGGTATGCCTACTTTTGCATTTGTCTTCTAGAGTTCATATTTACCAACTAAGAAAATTTGAAAATGGGCAGCTGGTTCTCATCTGGGAACACTTAAATACTAAAATCCTCTCTGGGTATGCCTACTGTTGCATTTGTCTTCTAGACTTCACATTTACCAACAAAGAAAACTTGAAAATGAGCAGCAGACGGAAACGTGCTCCTCCAGTGAGGATAGATGAAGAAAAGCAGCAGCAGCTTCATTGGAATATGCATGAGGATAGAAGGAATGAACCTCTCACCTTAACTGATGATGAATATCCCTGCCCAGATTCAGATGCCACTTCTGCTCATTGCATCATCCTAGATGACAGTCTAAAGGATGAGGTGCCTCACAGAGATAAGAAGAGGTGTTCAGAGGCAGTAAACTTCTCAAAATCAATCGAAAAAGAAGAGACTGTTGGTATTTTTTCCCCTTTGTCTGTAAAATTGAGTATTTTGATTGCTCCATATCACTTTGATAATTCTTGGAAAGCACTTCTGGGAGAATTAAGTCTTCAGCTTCTTCCTGAACAGAGTTTAACTGAAAATTTTTCTGAAAGGAGTTTTACTTTGATGAGTTCAGAGTCAAGCAATCAGTTCCTGATCTATGTTCATTCAGAATGTGAAGATGTAGAGAAACAAGAAAAAAGACTCAAAGAACCAATCTATGCTTGTGACAAGAGTATTCTAGTGGAATCATCCTTCAGTGGTGAAATGTTAGAAGATTTGGGGTGGCTACAAAAGAAGAGAAGGATAAAACTTTACCAAAGACCAGAAGGAAATCACATTATCAAGGTACTCAATTTCTGTGGCATCTTTTAAGGTTCGTCTACATTGGCAGTCCACTTTTAAAGTAACTTAGGAAGAAGGTTTTAAAAGTCAGCAAAAAGCATTTCATTAAGTTTCAAAGTACAGTTTATTTTGGGCTTTCAAAATTGTAAAAAAAAAAAAATATGTGGTATAGCAAATCATTTCCAGATTGTACTTTTTCAAGATCTTCCTGATTGCTTCTTTCCAGCTTTACTCTCAGTGACTTGTTTTGGTCCTCATCATTTCTTCCTCTTACTGTAGCATTTAACCATTTCTTTGTTTTCTGTCTTGCCTTTTCAAATCTTTCAGCTACTTTGTCTCTCTAATGCTTGATTATATAGTTTCATTATCCAGGGAAAAATTAATTGCAATCTAATGTTTCTAATGAATGCAAATGAAATTCTGTTCTTTACTGCCTGCAGAATTAGGTATAATCTTTCTAACCTGGCTTAGAAGTCTCTCCTGTGACAAGCCCTTGAGTCTTCTTTTATTACTCTGCTTTTTATTTTGTCTCAGACATCCCCTGCTGTCTTTTTGCATCTTAGCTTTTGCTCTCACAGTTCTCTCTGCCTATATTGTTTCCTTCCCTTCTCCTTCCCTGGTAATTCCTGGTCGTTCTTTAATATTCAGGTTAGAGTTGAATTTATCCAGGGAGATATTTTCTTCAACCCATGGATAATGTTATATGCCCCTTCCCCAGAGTACCTGATACATATTTTTATTTTTGTGTTGGCTACTTGCAGTGTACATACATTTTAGATCTTTCCCCCTTGCTATACTATGAAGCCTTTTATCTTCATAGCCCAGTAAAATACTTGGTACCTAACAGATAATCAGTAAATAAATGAATAAATTTCTAATTCATCTCAGACTCTGCCATTCATAGCCAAGTAACTTTTTTATGAATCATTTAAATGCCTTCTTTCTGTATGAAATGTAAATAATACTCATTCTTTTTTTACCTCATAGAATTGTGCTTAAAAATATCAGGTGAGATAATGTAAGTGTACTTTGTAAACTGTGAAGCAGGATAATATGCCTTTGTGCTAAAATTTGAAAGGAAAAGAAATTCTAAAATGTTAATTCCATGTTGTTTAACTGAAAACTGTCTCGTATATTTCTTGCATCAATAGCTGTGTTTATAGTTTCTGAATTGACAGAGGGAAAGGAGAAAAGTTAGAAGCATTAGATTGCAGTTAGTTTTTCTCTGGATAATGAAACTATATAACCAAGCATTTCTCTCTTTACTGATTGTGAGTGCTGAAATTATAGCTTGGTGATTACAAGTATGTAAGAACTCTTGGCTTATATATATATATTGGTGTTCTGTCTACCTCCCCTGCAAACCAAGTCTTAATCTATTCTATTTTCCCTGCTCCTGATTTATATGAATATTTAAACATGTATTGCCTCCGTAGTAAGCCATCTCGAGGTAAACAAATGGCAGAGCACAAATACTAACGAAATATAGTCTTTTTTTATTCATTCCTGTGTAATCCTGGTGGATTCTTGTTCTTTAGTGAAAGAATATAGTTATCTCAGTGATGAGGGATTCAGGTCAAGTATAGTCCAATGAAGCGAAGGCAATTAACATTTATTGAGTGTCAATCATTAGAAAATTTTCAATTATTTATGCTAGGTTTCTCTCTGTATTAAAGATGAGAACATTTGGGTCAAAATAAATCAGTTAGTTTTTTCAAATGTATTTAGTTCCTAAATATCAATGCCAGTATTCAGATTCAGGTATTTAAACTGCAAAACTTCATACTGCATTGCTTCACTGGAGTCAGTGTACTTAACATTAATCAAGATCTGTTTTCCTATACATCTTAGTGTTTGACTCAGTAATAAGGATGCCCAAATCCAACTGTGCATAACAGTACTAGCATTTGTATCAGAATCTTCCAGGGGAATCTGCATTTTTAACAAATTTCACTGATTATTTTGATAGTCATCAGGTTTGAGAATCATTGACTTGATAGGTTGAATTAGATGGTCTCATCACATTCCCCTGGGGTTTGATTTCAATTAGGGAAATATTTCTTTCCAGCAGCTTGAACTATGCATTGCACATAGTAGGTACTTACTGCTTGTAGAATGAATTTATTATTTAAAATGAAAATATGTGGGGAACATTTAGAAGGTATATATGGTTTGTGGGGCAAATATTGTGAATACCTTTAAAAACAGTGATGCTTAATTTTTTTATGTCTTCATAAAGAATGGCATATTTCAATTAAAACTATTTTTATGTTGATGAATTCTTTGTAGGTTGGAATTTATCTTTTGGAAGCTGGTCTAGCAAAACTAGACTTTTTGAGTGATGCAAATTCAAGAATGAAAAAGTTCAATCAGCTCATGAAGAGAGTGATGGAAAAGTTATACAATTTTATTATTCTAGGTAATGTTTAAAGTAAACTTTAAATTACTATTACTTTAGGAGTTGTGGGTTTTTTTCTCTGACTCCTAGATATAACAACCAGAAAAACTAATAAAACCATAATAAGAATTAAATGACCTTCATAAAATGACTGTGTGACAAAATTATACTGATCTGAAATGCCCCCACTAATACAACTTGTTTTTTTACTTTATTTGCTTAATGCTGTGCTTAGCTTATAGTAAGTATTAAATATTTGTGGAGTCAATATACAAGTCAAAAGGCAAAGTCTAGAGGGATCTGAGCTGGTTGGAATTTTTGCATTATTCCTGTGCTTTTATTCTGTCATGGCCAGAGATTCTTGGCTGGCATTTATTCCACCACTCCTTTGCAGTCTGACAGATAATCTTAAGAGCCCAGTTCCTGTAAAGACCACATGACTTTACTCTGTCTCTTGGTAGGATGTTGCATCTTTGGTCTAGACTGCAATTTCAGAGTTTTTTACCATTGCTCACCAAAGGAGAGTGTGGATGGCTGGGTGCAACCCATCAACACTACTGGAAATATGGCTCAAATTCTTTAAGTCCTGCTCATGGTGGGTCAGCATTATTTCAGGTGCAAACTATAGAACATTTTCATACTGGCATATTTGGAGATTAGTTTCTAACCTTAGTTGCTGAGTTGTTTTGATAATACATTCTTTGCAGAGCTTTATAATGTATAATAGTAAATCATTTTGCAAGTTAGAAACTTAAAAGGAATAATTAGAATTTCCAGGATGAGAAGGAATGCTTTTAAGTACATGTAGAGTTTTTAACATTTTGGTAAGAATTTCATTATTTAAAAAATTTTTGTATTTTTAAAGCATGACTTCTAAGGAAAACTTCAAATTTAGTTATTAGTCTTAGCGCATATAACCATACATTATTTGTGAAGCTTTGAAAATTTTACATGGCATATTTTTTATTGAAAAATTAAGTTGTGTATTTTTGATGCAACTTTTTAGTTCTAGAGCTTATGCTATGTCCTATAATAGTGTATAGTCCTATTTGAAAGCAGTTCAGAAATAAATGGAACACTTCTTCACCTTGAAAGAATTGTTTTAAAATAAACATTAGCTAAAAGAAGTTTGTGAATTTGTTCAAGGTTGTTTTTTTTTTCCTGTTATGGTAAACACAAGTTGTCTTCTGCAGAGCATTTGTGCCCCACCGAATGAATCCGATGTTTTTACAATTTTACATTTTTTTAATAGCTTAATCAGTTTTCTTCTAATTGGCTGGTGTTGCTACCAAATGCCTATCCTTTTTTAGCATAAGAAATTAAATGGAAACCTTTGTCTAAACAGACAGACATAGAGAAATTATGTCTCCATGTGTATTTTTTAATGTTCAGGTATAAAAATAAAATAAGTTATCCTTTTATAAACTGCAAGTGATATTCACATTTAGTTCCTCACATGTTTATGAAATATCCACAATGGGCAAAGCATGTGCCACCTTCTCTGAGGGCCTACAGAAATAGAAGACTTTGCCTGTATCTCACTGGGGAAGGGAAAAATGCATGTAACTAATTGCAATACCAGATAGGTTGCAATGTACTGCTGTAGCCCAAGTATGAAAGTATTGTACAAATATAGAGGAGAGTATCAATTCCAGCCAGGCAAAACAAAAACAAATGCCATGGGAAAAGTAGCAGTTGAACTATCTTCAAGAATGGATGAGTATATTTTTGATCAGTGAAGAATTAAAGATAGGGCCTTCCAGTCACATGGCTGAGCAAGGACATAGAGTTGGGCAAGTGAGTCGTATGTTCTTAGAACAATTGCTTGTAGTTATAAAAGGTGAATTGGGTTTTGAGTACATTTGTTGTTTGATGTACAGATGCGTTAGAAGAGGATGATGAAGATTCAGAGAGTGAACCAGAGGGACAGGACATTGATGAGCTCTATCACTTTGTGAAGCAAACACATCAGCAAGAAACACAATCCATCCAAGTGGATGTCCAGCATCCTGCACTGACCCCTGTGTTGAGACCTTACCAAAGAGAGGCTGTCAATTGGATGCTACAACAAGAGTATTTCAGAAGCACTCCTACTGGTGGCAAGTATAAGATACTTAAAGAAGGGCAAATTGATTAGAGGGATTATGTGAGAGATATTTAGGGTGAGGGGAAATTGATCACTAAACAAAACATATTGAAAAGATAGGATAGAATGTATGTTATCATGAACAAAATTATTTTCAAAGAAATTTTTAAAAATTGAAATATAGAAAAATACATTCATGAGTTCCCTCATTCATAAAAGTTTTTACTGTCTTTTTCTGCTAAAATAAATGCTGCCTTGATTGGAATTTTTAAAAACCAAAAAATTTGTTTACATGTCTATCCAAATAAGAAGTGCTTTTACAACTTGATCAGATGAAAATCTTGCTGATCATCTATAAGAAACTTTGCACAATTTGATGATGAACGTCAATGCCAGAAAGCAAATTTACAAAATTAGGATACACATGTGATTAATTTTCCTAAATATTGCATTTTTTCCTTACAATAAATAATAAAATATCATCTATTAAGTTTTTGTGAAAGTAGTAAATTTATGGGAGGCATTTATGCCACTTCTTAATCATTGTCTTTAAAGGGAGGGACACATGATGAAATTTTTACATGATTCTAGGAAGTGAGGTATTGATTACTTCTCATTCTTCCTATATAGATTCATTTTAGTTAATGATGAATAGCTCTTATATCTCCCATGTTTTCCAGTTTATACTTTCTTATCTAACAAACTTCATCTTTTAAACTTTTCATTTTGGACAATAAATATCAATTCATAGCTAATATCATTTCTTCCCACTCCTCCGGCCCCCATACTGACATATTTTAAAATAAATCCCATATATCTTATTTCATATGTTAATATTTCTGTTTGTTTCATTCAAAAATAAGGATTCTTTTAAATATATATAAAATAATGGATTTTAAAACCCATTTAGTCCTTAATATCACCTAATCTCCCTGCCCCCCTTTCCTCTCTCTTTCTCTCTCCCTCTTTCTCCATCTCCCATCTTGTCTCTCTCTCTCTCTCTCTGTCTCTCTCTCTCTCACACACACATACATACACTTTAAATCTGAAACCAAATGGAATTGGTTACATTCATTTGTTTCTTTTAATCCGTAGGTTTTATTTCTTATCTCTTGCTTTATTTTTTTTCTTATAATTATTTGTTAAAGAAATTGTTAGTTGTGTAAAGTTTCCCACAGACCAAATTATTTTTTCCAAAAGGAAATATTTTTTCTTTAGTTAAATGATTTTCAATATAGTGAAATGCACTGATTTTAAGGGCACAGTTTGATGAATTTTGACAAATTTGTGTATCTGCATAACCCACAATTCAATTAAAAAATAGAACTAGATTGTCCCAAAAGTAGCCACTAGCCACATATGGCTCATGTGAGTTGAAATGTGGCTGTACAAATTGAAATGTGTTATAAGTTTAAAATATACACTGGATTTCAAATAGTACCATAAAAATATATAAAATATCTTATTAATTATATATGTTGATTACATATTAAAATATTTTGGTAATATTGAGATAAATAAAATACACTGTTAAAATTAATTCTACCTGTTCCTCCCCCCCTTTTTAAATAAAACTACAAATTTAAAATTACATATGTGGCTCACATATTTTTAGCAGACAGTGCCTATTGCAAATATTTCATCACCCCAGAAAGTTCCCTCATGGCCCAGGTCTATGCAACTACTTCAGCTCCTTCAGTAGGCAGCCACTGTCACAGTAAATTACTTTTGCCTTATTTTGAAACGATAAGTAGAATTATTCATATATATATACTTTGGGGGGTGGGGGTTGCTGCTTTCAACATAAGGTTTTGGAGATATGGCTATTATGTGTGCATTAGTAATTCATTCTTTTTTGTCCACAGACTAGATTTTATTGATGAAATCCCCAGGTTTCATTTAACACTTCTTCTGTCCTTTATGGGTCCCATAAATTGAAACTTTTTTAAATTTATGTTTATTGAACTTCTTATGTTAAAAATAATACATATATATTTTAGAAGTTTTAGGAGAAATAGAAAAGCAAGAAGGAAAAGATTTTTATTTTTTTTTTGAGACAGAGTCTCGCTTTGTTGCCCAGGCTAGAGTGAGTGCCGTGGCGTCAGCCTAGCTCACAGCAACCTCAAACTACTGGGCTCAAGGGATCCTCCTGCCTCAGCCTCCCAAGTAGCTGGGACTACAGGCATGTGCCACCATGCCCGGCTAATTTTTTGTATATATTAGTTGGCCAATTAATTTCTTTCTATTTATAGTAGAGACGGGGTCTCGCTCTTGCTCAGGCTGGTTTCGAACTCCTGACCTCGAGCAATCCGCCCGCCTCGGCCTCCCAGAGAGCTAGGATTACAGGCGTGAGCCACCGCGCCCGGCCAAGATACTTCTATTAATACTTGAAGATAATTGCTAAATCACTATTAATATTTTATCATGTTCTTCCAGATCTTTTTCTTTTACTTGTCTGTGTAATGTTTTTTTATTATTTCAGAGTATTATGGGGGTACAATTGCTTTGGTTACATCAATTTGCATCCACCACCTTTTTTCTCTTTATTTTTTTACTTTATAAATACTATGTATTCCTAATTTATCTGTTAATTCCTAAAGAAAATAACAAAAAATTACTTGCTGTTTCAATGGTGGGTAGAGAATTTGACAGTTGGTTTAAACAAAGGGGGAGGATAATGGAAGATTCTGGTTGAAACAAACTCAGTACTTCAGTGTTAGAGTTTTACATATGTTTTTCTCTGTTTAATAAGACTTTCTTCCCATTCTCAGACACATAGAAGAAGTCAGGTCTAATTTGGGTAAATGTATTAGCTCACTAGCATATGCCTATTGAATTATTTAAGGACTTCTTACAATTTACTGAAGGATTTATAAAAGATAAGGTACTTGCTTTATCTCATAGGGATTGGTTATATGTTTTAGGTTTTTTTCCTGTTAATACTCTGTAATTTGCTACACTTTGCTTTTCTGTCTTACTATTTGCTGATAAGGATATGTGCCCAAAGGAAAGGAAGCTAAAGATTAATATCAGAAGACAAGAGTTAGAGGAACCCTTAGCCTTTTACTCATGTGTTAAGTATGTGGCTTTTCCCAAATGAGACTTCTCAAGACTATGGGTATCAACATCCCATAGTATCCTGACTGTTAACTTATTTTTTATTTTAATGTGATTATCTGACAGGAAAACAAACAAAATCTTAATATAATTATATTTTTCTTTAGAAAGTACCCTGCACTTCTTATGGCGAGAGATTATTACATCTGAGGGTTTGAAACTCTACTATAATCCATACACAGGCTGGTAAGGCAAAATTTCATTTATATGCTGATTTAAAAATATATATAATGAAAAACTGTATGAGATTGTTAGCATATGACTTTAGCCTTGGCAGTACCTCGTGAAGGAATATTATGTTAAAATCTTATTAGACATTTTTATAGATAGAATAGACTTAGAATTAATTACACTTGTCATTTTTCAGTAAGTAAATGCAGAATAATAGACATAAGAACTTAGTTATCAAGATTTAAAGAGAGATTATTATTCTAAGTTAAAATGTTATCGTGTTTATTATAGGCCAGGTTTCTTTTTAGGAATCATTAAACATAATTAATGGAACAGTAGTTATTGCCTTTCATATTTTTTAATTCATAAATTCGTAAGGGTCATAGAAATAAGGCAGACATGTTTCCTTTTAATTATAGAACAGAGAAAATCATGGATATGTCCTAATACAATTCTTATTTCTGCAGACTTAGTTTTCAGCTCAGTTGGTTTTTTGATTATCATATTTCTTACATTCATAATCTAGGGATTTGAATTGTTTTGGCCCAAAATGTAGTTTCAATAAACTTACCCATTTTCTTTAGGAAAAGTAATTAGGAACAGTATTATTTTTATTTACATACCTATGATGTGTTTTTTGGGTTTTTCCTTTAGCATCATTCGTGAATTCCCAAATTCTGGGCCACAGTTGCGTGGTGGAATCTTAGCAGATGAGATGGGCCTTGGAAAGACAGTGGAGGTTTTGGCTCTGATTCTGACACATACTCGACAAGATGTCAAACAAGATGCTCTCACTCTTCCTGAGGTAGGAGGAGAGTACTATAGGGCTTGGGAAAGCAGGGGACATATGTTCTCAAAAAGCATCATATGTTGAACATTTGCTTGGCACTCAAGTTAACACTTTCTGTTCACTCTTCAGCTAATGATTTATATTAATGGTTAGTTAGCTTTAAGTGGGCACGAAGAATGGGATGTTTGTGACCCAGTAGAGTTTTTTTTTTAAGTGATGTTGGCCAAGTAAGAAGGGGATATGCAGTCACTTACCAAGCTTCCTTCTAGTTGATAGAAAACCTGCTTTGCAAAAGTACTATTAACTTCTCAAGTGATTTGTAATTATTACATGTCTCCATATTACCACTAAATGTTTTTAAGGGCTATTTTAACAAATGCAAATCTCAGATATATACAATAAATCTTAGAATATAATAATTAAAATTTTTTTAAAGAATAGATAGCTTAGTAGATAGAATGCTAAATGAAACAAACTCTTAAGTCCTTGTCTCAAAAGTTAATTTTAGAAGTTCCACATTTAACATTTAGATAATTTAAGATAATACGTACAATTTGAAAAAGTGATGGATAGCTGTAAGCTTAGAAATAAAGAATAGGGTACATATATCTATATTTGTGTCTACTTCGCTCTTTGTCTCAAATTTTTTTACAACTGTTTTGCATTTCCTTAATAGAATGAGGGTTAATTTTAATAAGCAATTCAGAATACTGAAAGCAAAACACTATGTGACTACTGAATGTTGTTTATATCAGGGAAAAGTGGTGAATTATTTCATTCCATCACATTTTGGAGGAAAAGTAAAAGATACAAAAACCCAGAATATTGAAATTGAACCAAAAGAAAAAGTTCAGTGCCCCCGTAAGTATGACATCTCTTAAAGAAAAGACCTACTGATAGTGATCTTTGTTATAGTTCTTGCACTCAATTAGAAATATCTTGTAATTGTTATGAATAAATGTTTTTATCATTGTTTAAGCTTTGCATAAATGGATTCAATTATAAATTACAATATCTTAACAAAAGTAAAGATTTATTCTTTTGATTTGATCCAGGTAGTTCTTGCTCAATCTGTTATATTTAAATTTCTTTAGTTTACAATTTAAGCCAGGCTTTGTTTATCTGTTAGCAGATAAATGTTTCCCTTACTGTTTGGTAGCATATACTTAGATAATTTTAAGAGTTTTCTTTTATAATTTTTAACGATTATTGTTTTGTGAGATTAACAAATTAATATGCATTAAGTCATCTTCCTTAAATTATTTCTATATAGTAATTTGTTCCTTAAGGTGTTGAGATAATTTTTTATTACATATTCTTCAAAATGGCACTATACTACAATAAATCTTTGATTTTTTTAAAATTTAGTTCTCAATGCAGATTGATTAACCAACTTTTGCTTTATTTTCATTTTAATTATTTTGACTAAATTGGCATATCCTTTTACATACAGCTACACGTGTGATGATCCTGACAGCTGTGAAAGAAATGAATGGGAAAAAAGGAGTCTCCATCCTTTCCATCTACAAATATGTCAGTTCTATATATAGATATGATGTTCAACGGAACAGGAGTCTTCTGAAACGGATGCTGAAATGTTTAATTTTCGAAGGTCTTGTGAAACAGATCAAAGGCCATGGTTTTTCTGGGACTTTTACACTGGGAAAGAATTATAAGGAAGAGGATATATGTGATAAAACAAAAAAGCAGGTAACAGAACTTAAGTTAAGCTCTGTTAAGTACCTATATGTGATGCCTTACAGAATTAGTTGAGAGATCCCACCTTGACACTGAAGCTCTTACAATCTGAAGATAAAACAAACCAGTTAAGAAAATCATTTATGGCTATGAATTGTGTTTTTTACTTTGTGAATATAAACTCCATGAGAATAAAAACTTTATTTTGCTTACCATTAAGCCCAGAGAATAGTGCTAGTCACGTAACAAGTACTCAATAAATACTTATTAAATGAATTGTAAAATTAGTTGTCTAAGCATATTATACTTTATATATCTCTATTTTTATCATGCTGCTGTCAGCAGTTAAAAAGTTTGTTTTAGACTTTAAAAATATTAATACTTTAAATTTATACTTTATATACATTTTATATATATAAAATATAAATGTGCATATAAATTAGCACTTTATATACATTTCAAATCTTTTATATAAGCTTTCATTTTCCACATGTTATCTTATAAAATTTTTGCATTTTGTTAGAAGACTGTTTCTGTTGGACCAGTAATTTCAGTTTTCTTTTAGGAAAATAATTTATTTTCTTTTAGGAAAATAATCACAATATTTGCAAACATAAATCAAGAAAATACTAATGACAACAAGTCAAAATACAGAGCTACCAGATTGGCCACTATGAGAAAAACAGTAGACAAAACTTTTTTCCTGAAGTAGGAAGTCTCTAGTATTATCCCCAGGCAGTGTAGAAGACTGCAGTGAACTTCTGTGCTGCCACCAAAATCTGAAATACACTTTGAATTCATGCCATTGAATTTGTGTTAAGTGTCCTAATTCCTCTGTTCAGCTCACTTCTGATGTCACTTGGAGGAAACCATCCCTTAGCTCTGATATCACTTGGAGGAAACCATCACCTACCTGCCTATCATGTTCCCTCTGCATTATATACCTCTTAGGCATTCCTGTAGCATTGATTTACTTTTTATTGTTCTTACTTTTCCAGTAGACCCCTTTGAGACCAGAGACAAATCTCGTACATATTTGTATCCCTAGCATCTGACACAATTCCTGGTATAAGAGTTGGCATTCAATAAATAATTGCAAGAGAAGGCACAGGTAGAAAGGGAAAGGAGAGAAGGAATCTACTTGTTAATTGCAGTAGCTAATAGGTTAACTTTTACTTTCTTTGGATGCTATATTTTAGTACTTGGCATTTTTGTAATTGCCCTAATTTGTATATTTATGTACTCTAAAATACTAGTCTTTTATTGATTTAGGCAGACTATGAATCCAAAGAGGCTAATTACAAAATATCAGTAGCTCCTTTTAGCTTCCTAATCTTCCCTTTATCTCTCCAAATCTTCCTTGTATAGTAGTACAGCCTGCCTTTTGTTTGGGATCTGTAGACTACAGGGAAGGTTCTTATAGAGGGTAGATTAGAAGCCACTTATCAAGAGTGATTCTCTTCAGGGAAAAGGGTAGCATAAAGACTGATTACCAGATTTTTATGTAAAGTACATACACAAAGTCAGGAGTTTAATTTCAGCAATGTAATTATGTTGAAATAAATTAATTAAATATTATTTTTTTTCATAGGCAGTAGGGAGTCCAAGGAAAATCCAGAAAGAATCTAGAAAATCAGGGAACAAAGACACGGATTCTGAATACTTGCCATCAAATACCTCTGATGATGATGATGATGATCCTTACTATTACTATTATAAGGCCAAGAGAAATCGTAGTAAATTGAGGAAAAAGCCTATTCTATCCATAAGAAAAGGAAAAAGTCAACCAAATAGCAGTTCTGATTCACAAGGTCATTGTCCAGCTGCCAGTGACTCTGGAATTATTGATGTTACTACATCTGAAAGTACATGTGTCTCTGAATTCAAACAAGAACATGAAGCAAAGGACTATGGTGAATCTTTAAACCTTGCTGCTAGTGATGTGCCACATTCTAATATCATGAGTCCCTATAACACTGCTGATTATCGCTTTGAGTGCATATGTGGCGAGCTTGACCAAATGGACCGTAAGCCACGTGTTCAGTGCCTGAAGTGTCACCTGTGGCAACATGCAAAGTGTGTGAATTATGAAGAGAAGAATCTGAAGGTTAAGCCTTTTTACTGCCCCCACTGCCTTGTTGCAATGGAGCCGGTATCAACAAGAGCAACTCTAATAATCTCTCCAAGTTCCATCTGTCACCAGTGGGTGGATGAGATCAATAGACATGTGAGGTCATCATCTCTTCGAGTCTTGGTAAGGTCATTTGTGCTAAAGAGGGATAGGAAAATGTAAATTTTTGCTTCTTTATAATAGTTTTATAGTCTTTGTTGCTTTGTTTATCCCAAAATTAATAATATCAAAGTAATATTAAATCAGAGCTCGAAGAGAAATTAAGACTAAAGAAAAGAACAATAAAATGTCTATCTTTTATGACATCAGAAGTTAAAGCACTTTGGACATAAATATGTGAAAACTTTTTTTTAAAATTCTCAATCACATAAATGGAAAAAGTCTTGGTGTAAGCATTTATACTCTTAGAGACAAACACAATTCAAAGGCAGCATTGTGTGATAGTAGCTACTTGTCTGATCTGTCACCTCTTAGCTCCAGGATCATCTTCTCAAGCCTCAATTACCTCATCTATAAAATAAGGACTTATTCAACAAATATTTACTGAGCACCTATTATGTGCCAGGAACTGTGCTAAGTTCTGAAAATGTATCCAATCACAGACTTGTGAAGATTAAATGATTTCATGAAGTGCTGGCACATAGTAAGTGGTCATTTAGTCATATTGTTTATTAATATTAGTACACTTCACTACTTTTGTTCTTCCTTCTTTCCATACAAATATTACCAAAGGTGTTCTATATTTTATCCACTCTCATCGGCATGGAGAATACAGTGGTAAATAAAACAGTTTTTTACCATTGAGGAGGCAAACCTTGGTCTGAGTCTTAGCTCCATCAGTTTTGAGCAAGTCAGTTTATTTTTTTATGCATGGGCTAGAAATATTAGCAACTACTAACAGAGTTGTTGAAGTTCAGAGATTGTACTTAGTACAGTGTCTGAAACATTAAAAGATATTTTTTAAGTAATAGCTCTTATTTTACTTTTTCATAACATCATGCTTTCCCACATGTTCCATTTCCCCAGCAGTATATAGTCCTTTCCCCCTTTTTCCATCTCTGAGAACTCCTAAATGTTCTTCAAGTTATACCTCAAATTTTAACTCCTCTGTGAATTCACCTTCTCTGTCACAGAATTGGCATTTCCACTGTGGTGCTGTTACATTTACTTCTGTTACAGTTCCTTTCACATTCCTTATGTTATTAGTCCTCCACACTACAATGTGTCTTTCTCTAAACAGATGTGAGAACTGCCTTATAGCATATGTGGTCCTAAGCATATAGAAAGGGCTCAGTAAGGATATTAATGAATATTTCATTTGTCTTCGACGAGCCTTTCTGCAATAACTATGTCTGTACTGATTATTTCTTAGGTATATCAAGGAGTGAAGAAAGATGGCTTTTTACAGCCTCATTTTTTGGCAGAACAGGATATAGTTATCATTACCTATGATGTCCTTCGTTCAGAACTAAACTACGTCGATATCCCACATAGCAATAGTGAGGATGGGCGTCGCTTACGGAACCAGAAACGCTACATGGCTATTCCCAGCCCCCTAGTAGCTGTGGAGTGGTGGAGGATCTGCCTTGATGAAGCACAGATGGTTGAATGTCCTGCAGTAAAAGTGAGAGTTTTTGGAAAATCTTTTGAGGGTTGGGGAAGAAAGGAGAAAGGGATGAGGGGAACTTAAATAGTTTATTAGTTTAATCATAGTTAACCCATAGTATTGATATTGTTCAAAAGTTTGCTGTTAAACACTATATATGCTTTTCTCTTGGGCTATGAACTACATAACCCTTTGGAATTATTTTGTTACTGTGAATCATAGCTTTATATACAATGCTCATTATATTTCAGTGAGATGTCAGTTTATACATCATGTAGATCAAAGTAAACCATGTTTAGGGAATGTTTCAGCATTTCTGCTAACCAGAAGGATTCTTGTATTGGTTGCTAATAGCTTTGGGCCAAAGTTGATTTGGGTAGTTTTTTAAATCAGAGAGGCCAAATGGCAAAAGAAAATGCTATTAATACTTTAAAGGATAGAATTTTGATTTGGCCTTTGTCATATGTCTTTATTCTGTCTTCTTTGGTCATTCTGTAACCTAAACTGAATTTATGGATCACACCTATTAATGCATCTGAAGGATGGGATGATGTAGGGGATGTATCCATTATTCAGGGAGTTTTTTCATTCTATACATGCTTGAACTACTTCTCCAATTCAGGTGAGTTGCATGGCAGCCTCCCACTAATGAGAACCACTGTACTGGAATATGGCCCATTGAATATGACACTCAACATTGTGGTAAATAAAAGCAGGTAGATCTCACCCAAAGTGTAGCTTTTCATGGGCTATTTTCATCAATATGTCTGAATTCTATGTTCTTCTGTGTCTTTTTTGTTTGTTCATGTGTGTGTTTGTTTTTATTTCACATTTCTCTCATCAGGCTGCAGAAATGGCCCAGCGTTTGAGTGGGATTAATCGGTGGTGCATCAGTGGCACTCCAGTACAGAGAGGATTGGAAGGTAATGTATGATTTCCTCACATATTGCATGTATTTGAAAAGCTTCAGTTTTTTGTGGGAAAAATTATTGTTGTGCTTAACATTTGTTGAAATTCGTATTTAAGTGATGAACATGTATGTATATTACAGTTAACTCCTAATAGTTTCAAGCCATCATCTTTTTAAATGGTACTTGGGTGATTTTTCTGTTTGTGTATATGAGGACAGGTATGTAGTGAATGGTCCCATTGTTCTAAGTTAAACAATTATTGTACCTGCCTAAACAGTGTAGATATATGTCTGAATTAAAAGCAGAGTTCTAAAGTGGGAAGTAGAAGAATCTGACTAAAAAAGGAGAGGGGAAGAAAGAGAGAGAAAAGGAATTAATTTCAACTGGCTGTGTTTCTGCAAATAGGGACTATGATTTCATTGTCTGAATCCATTAATAATGGGACCATAATTTTACTAATTGTAAAAGTTATAAATTATTAATAGCTCTATAATGTCAGACTATATGCATGTATACCATTATTCCTTCAGTGATTCCTCTTGGACAGTTACATTATATCTAGTCTTCTCCCCTCCACACATACATTATAATGATATTTCTACATTAATCTCATTTGTTGTTACTTTCTCCATAGAACAGACACTGCATTTTTAAAACCTTTATCCAAGTTGTGAATATTTAAAATTAAACATTTAAGTAAATCTTGTTTTGTGTAATAAATTTCCTAAAAAGCTATTATTAAAATGCAATTAAATTAGAAAATTTAAATATACTTGGAGTCCACTCAAATTTATCTTTCTGGAAACCCAAATTTTCACATATTATGTTTGCTTTCAGCAGGATAACTTATCATTCTCCTGAAACAAAAATATCAACATACATTCCTTGGACCTAAAAACTATGTTTTTTGATGATTATTTTTAGGGGGGAAAGGTTTTCTATGGATAAGTATATATTTAAATATTCACATAATTTTAATGTTACATTAAGATACATATTTATAAAATAATATCAGGCTCATTAAAAGACCAAATTTAGTGGTCTGCCAATATTACAGATATTTAGATATTAAGAAGGTCTCATTCAGCTCAAAAGTTATCTAAAGGGATACAGAAAGAGTAAATGGCTGTCAGAGTAACTTTTTCTAATCTTAGTGCTGACGGAATGTGAGTAATTTCTCGGTTTCCTATGTAGGTTTTTTAGAGATATAAGATATTGGCAGCACAAGTGTTTCGAGCACTTGCTACCATTCAAATTCTTCAATTTTTTTAAACAACTTTATTGAGTTGTTTGAGCTTTAAGTCGTTTATAAGTGACATATAATAAAACTAAATATTTCAAATGTGAAATTTGAAAAGGTTTGACATACGTGGATAGCCATGAATCTATTTCCACAACAAGGTTATCACCCCCAAAAGTTTCCTTATACTGTAAGTCACCTAAAAAATAACTTTTCCAAACTTCCTGGAATTTTACTCATCTTTCCCCCTTGTTTCCATAACTCTCTGGTATCTTTAACACTATGATTATTGCAATGTATCTGTATTTTTCTGGTTGTCACACGTGGGAATGTTAGCCTGCCCATGGTTTACTGTGTTGTATTTGGAAGTGGAAATCTCTTTTGTTTTCTTTTTGTGCTTGGCCCTATTGACATTTTGGGCCAAATAACTCTTTTTCATTGGAGGCTGTCCTGTCCATTTTTAGGATGTTAAGCTTCTACCCACTAGATGCTAGTAGCACTCCTACAGTTCTGACACCCACAAATGTCTCCAGACATTGCCAAATGTCCCCTGGAGAGTAAAATTGCACCCCTTCACCTCTACTTCATTGTGCTAGACTGATAAGTAAATCAGATTTGATGATTTATTAATTAGCAACATCCCAGAGATCTTATGAATCCCAGATTGACCACATGTTAAGGAAGGAAATGAGGGTAGGATAGTTTCATAATTTATCAGGTCTTTAGGTTGTTTCTGCAGGCAGGCTGAAATAATGTCATCTACTTGGAAAGTCAAAGAGGCTGCTCATTCCTTCCACCCTTCACCCCATGTCTGTATGAAATACTTACTTGTATAATATACAAAGCCTTGGCTTTGGTGAATATATAAACCTGGGTTCATATCCTGACTTTCAGTTGTATATCCATAAACAAATTACTTAAACATACAAATCCTTATTTTCTTTAGTTGTAAATTAAGGCATTTTAAAGATGAATTATAATAAAGTTTACAAAAAGTATTTTAGCACAGTACCTAGCAGATAGTAAATATTCAAAGAATGATAGCTACTTCCACTTCAGCCTTTGTTTTTTTTTTTTCCCTTTATGTAGTCATTTATTTATTTTAGTTTCTTTGAAAGTGTTGATTTTAAATAACTTTTTTCTGGTGCTATAACAGAATACCAGAGATTGAGTAATTGATAAAGAAAAGAAGTTTATTTAGCTTATAGTTCTGGAGGCTAGGAAGTCCAAGAGCATAGCACTGGTGCCTGGGAAGGGTTATCCCATGGTGGAAGGGCAGAAGGCGGACGTGAGTGCATGATACAGAGAGAAGAGCCAGGAGCTGGACTTGTTTTATAACAACCCAGTCTTGAAATAACTAACCTGTTCCCATAATAATGACATTAATCTTTTCTTGAGGAATCCTGCCTCATGACCCAGTCATACCTTCAGTAGGCCTCACCTTCCAACATTGTGGCATTGGGGGTTAAGTTTCCAACTCATGAACTTTTGGGAGACACATTCAAACCATAGCGGATAATGAGCAAAAGTAGGTAAAGTCCCTGGCTTTATTGACCTTATAGCTTAGCAGGGAAGATATATTTATTAAGTATTTAATAAATATTAAATTACAATCAAGATAACTTATAAATGAAAAAACATAAAATTCTAACTATATCATGTTTCATAAAAAAAATCTGGTTCTGTGACATTCACATAATAGGAATGCAGAAGGAAATGACACCTGATCTGAGATCTGAAATATTCACATGAGGTAGGTAAAGAGGGGAGGGAAGAATTCTCTCTTGTGGATAAAACAGAAAATATAAAGATCATGTGCAAGGAGAATACTGAAAGAGTTTTAGCATGTCTAGAGCACAAGAGCTAGGGAAAATAGTACATTGAGACACTAAATAGGTGGTTATAGATGGGACCATGGAGGATGTTATAAGCCATGATTAAGAATTTATTTTCTTAAGAACTGTAGGAGCTATTAAAAGCATTTAAACACAGTTGTTGGAAGTCATCTTGTGATTAGATTTATATTTCTAATATCACTCTAGTTGCATTGTGGATGATGGTTTAGAAGGAAATAAGAGTAGATACCATGTTTCCCTGAAAATAAAACAGTGTCTTATATTTATTTTTCCTCAAGAAGACACCCTAGGGCTTATTTTCAGGGGATGTGTTATTTTCCCCTCAAAGCCTTAGCTTGCAGCATGCACAGGATAGCCAGGACATGACAGGGGGAGCCGACCTTGTTGGTGGGGCTGCCCACACCTTTCACCTTTCCAGTCACCTCTGGGTTAGTAGCTGTCACTATGGTGCAGATGAGAAGGACTGCTCCTCTTCTTTACCGCTCCGCATCAAAATGCATGGGTTGTGCAGATACGCTGCGTAGCCATGCCCATCACTAGGTCTTATTTTCAGGGTAGGGCTTATATTGCACAAATGGTTAGAAATCCTGCTAGGGCTTATTTTATGAGTAGGTCTTATTTTTTGGGAAACATGGTATTAGAGTTAAATAGCTATAATAAGTAATCTAGGCAAGTGATGCTGGCACTTTTGCTTTGGGCTAGGTTTATCTTGAAGATACAGAAAAAAGTGGATGGGGAAGATTAGCAAGCCTTGGTGATAGTGTCAGATTTGTGTGTTTCCTGGTTCTTATCGAAGAATGGTTACTGAGACTGAGTCAGCGGAATAAATGAGCAGGCCAAACAGATACAAGTGAGCGAAGCATTAAGCACAGTACGGTCCAGAGAGGGAACGAGTCGATCTCTACAAGTGGAGACGACCTGGGTTTTTAGCACACATGTTTTTATATAAATGGACTGCCCCTGCTCTCTTCAGGAAGTTTCCCTTTCCTGCCCTTGGGTGATTGATAGGTTTTCTTATATAAATCCCCTCTTAGTTTGTGTTCATGTGTTCTCCCAGAATCCTTTGAAAGCCCACTGGGGGATCAAAACCACAATGCAAATTAGATGGTAATGATCCCTGGGTCAGTTGAGGACAAATGAAATCTCCTAGTGTGCATTTGGCCAGTCCATGATATTTGTGGTTTTGACCATCTCACCAGTTTGCTTTTTCTCTACATCTTTTTAATTGATCAGTTCTTACATTCTCCTCTCATAGACAAAACATCTGTTCCTCTTTCACTCTCCTTATCCCTTCCTAACATTAGGTCAGGAGATGCTGAGATTTCTGACTTGCATAAATCCATGGATAGTAACAATTTTCACCAGTGAATAACACCAGCAGAGTAGCATGTCTAGGGGAAAAGATTATGAACTTGATTTTGACAGATTTAGTTTGAGGCACTTTTGGGATCTCAAGACTTAGCACGTAGGCAATTGATTTGAACTGAAAATAAAAAATCTGTGATCTCTGCATATAGGCTGTGATGCTTTGATTCTTTCAGATGTTACTAACTCCCAGCAAACAACAAAGTTCGACCTAAATATTTGTTGGTCATCTTCAAAATGATGTTGTAGGTAGGGTCATGGTATTTTATATTATTTTTTTATGGCTTGTAAAGGGAATCTATACCCATTGTGGAAAATTTTAACAATATGATAAAGTATAAAGAAAATTACACTCACCCGTAGTCTTCACTTGAATACAAAACCACATCCAGTCTTTTCTATATAAATGAGCTCATACTACACGCATAATTTTGTGTTCCTTTTTTTCACTTAACATTACATCCTAAGCAGTTTTCCATAACTCATAACAAATAAATATGTAGAAAACCACTTAGATGTGTTAAGTGGAGAAAAAATAAAATATAAAATTGAGTATGTACAATCAAGAGATATATAAGAAGTATCACATGCTTAAAGCTAAGAAATGCAAGGGATACTAGATCAGAAAAGAAAAATAGTTCTATTTTATAGGGGTACCATAATTTATTTCTTTATTTGAGTCATTTTTATTTTATATATTGATATTATTGCTATGAATATCACTGTATGGTCAATGTTGTCTATATTTTTTATTGTCTTAGGCTTATTTTTGAGAAATGGAATTATTAGATCAAAGGGTATGAAGACTGTCGGTTTAGAGAATATTTTCCATATTATCTATGTGATTAGAAATCTTTTTTTCCTCATCCAACAATTCTTGCATCTATTAGTTTCACTGAATGGTATTTCTTACATATCTCTTATCAAACACATTCAGTTGAGTAGTTTTCTGGTTTTACCTCTGATGGTAATTTCAGACTTTGGAATTAAATATAAGCTTTGCATAATGGTTCCATAAACTTTACAACATTTTAGCACCTTGCACAAAACTTAGAACAAAATATATGCTCAAGAAGTATAAATTGAATTGGAATTGAATTTCAGATTTAATAGCCTATACAATCTACATTTTAATTCATTGAAATTACTATGTACTGTGTAATGCCTGTAAAAATGCTTATTCAAAGTAGTTATGAAGAAATACAGAAACAGTTATTCTCAAAGTGTTTTTTTTCTTTTATCTTTTCAGATCTTTTTGGGTTAGTGGTCTTTCTTGGTATTGAACCTTACTGTGTCAAACACTGGTGGGTTCGACTTCTCTATCGCCCTTACTGTAAGAAGAATCCTCAGCATCTCTACAGCTTTATTGCTAAGATACTGTGGAGGTCTGCGAAGAAAGATGTGATTGACCAAGTCAGTATGATAAGTTTTTATTGACTAAGTATATTATAGGAAAAAAGAAACTTTGGGATGGGAAGTTAAATTTTCAGGTGAAATCTTTTTTTTTTTTTTCTCTCCTCTTTATAGATCCAGATACCACCACAGACTGAAGAAATACACTGGCTCCACTTTTCTCCAGTGGAAAGGCATTTCTATCACCGTCAGCATGAGGTGTGCTGCCAGGATGCAGTGGTAAAACTCAGGAAGATTTCTGACTGGGCTCTCAAACTCAGCAGCCTGGACAGAAGGACTGTCACCTCCATCCTGTATCCGTTGCTGAGGCTCAGGCAGGCCTGCTGCCACCCACAGGCTGTTCGTGGGGAGTTCTTGCCACTTCAAAAAAGGTTTTATTATCAATGTCCTTATACTGCAATTGATAGTATCAAAATAGACAATATTTAAGCAATCAACTTTCTGGCCCACAGTTTCATTCAAAGACTTATAACTGAGTTGTCAGTTATTTTTAATGGTGTGGTGTTTTTTTCTTTGGTATGGAATCTCATTTGTGAAAGATAATCACATCATATTTATTTTCATGGTTTTGAACATTTCTTTTAAAATTAGGGTTATTGTTGGGGTTTTTGTTGTTTTGGGGTATTTTTTTGGCTGTACTCCAAGATATGAAAGGATTTTGCTCTTATTATAATTTTGGTTCCCACATCAGGGAATTAATTAGATTACCATTAAATATTTTCTTTAGAATTATACAACTATATTTATTTGATTATTCCTTCTGAAAACATTAAGGAATTTGTGTTCTTAGTATTTCTAGTGTCCTAGAAATTTTTTTATGTATCAGACTGTGACTCAGGAACTGGCCTTTTTTAAAGCACCTGAGGCTATAAGAGATAGAGGATTAGATTTTGTCCTTGACCTTAAGCAGATTATAGACTAATAAGGAAAAATGACAAAATTATATTAATAGATTTCTGAAATACAAGGTGAACATGGTAAATTTCACAAGATGTATATCCAAATTACTGTGAACAATGAGAGTATAGAAATAATTTGTATATGAATGGCTAAAGTTAAACAGTCTTCTGGTGGAAATGGCATTTGGCTTGATCCTTGAATCTTCATTTTTTTATAGATAAAAAAATATTCAAGTTAAGTGTTCAAGTTCAAAGACGTTAATTAGTTAAGTTGCAATGCTGGTATTCAGATAGTCTTATAACACCCATAGTATTTCAAATACATCATGATGTACTTTCGACTTAAGGAACTAGTACATTCTATTAATACTTCCATTCTCTCTATCCTAAAATGGGAAGAACTGAAAGAATGGTGGCATCAGATACAGGTAATTGAGCTGGAATGGAGGTGAAGAAAAAAATGCTGAAGATATCCCAGAGATTCTGTAGGAGTCTCATACTCTTGATCACATGTGATATACACTCCCACTGAATATTGCTTGGGAATTTCTTTCTAGTTTTGAACAGTCTGTCTTTTCTTTTAGCACCATGACAATGGAAGAACTGCTGACATCTTTGCAAAAGAAATGTGGAACTGAATGTGAAGAAGCACATCGGCAGCTAGTTTGTGCCCTCAATGGTTTAGCAGGCATCCATATCATTAAAGGTAGAAGGTGATTGCTTTGTTATCGCTGACTCTTCCAAATACTTCCTGTAGAAGGTTAATTATAACAGAAATCAAAATTCCCGCCTAAAAGACATTCTCATACACTACTGATTGCAATTTAAATGGGTTAAACTTATGAGAGAGCAGTTAGGCAGAATGCTTCAAAAACCTTCAAAGTTTACATATGCTTTGACCAAACATTTCCATTTTTAGAAGTTCTTTTTTAAGGAAATGAGGATATGAACAAAGAAATGGCTAGAAGTTATTACTCTTAGTCTTTAAAAGTGAACAACTGTAAACAATCTTGTCTTTATGCACTGCAACTTGATTGTGCAGGAAAAATACTAGAACTTGTAAGTGAATTTTATAAGATTGTATGATACAAAGTGAATATACAAAAATCAATTTTATTTCCATTTGCTAGGAATGAACATTTCATAATTATAACAATACTATTCATAGTAGTACCGGAAAATATGAAATACTTAGGCATCAATTTGAATAAGAATGTACAAGACCTACACAAAAAAGCATAAAACATTGAAAAACAAAATATTGCTGAGAGAAATTAACGCCTTATTATACTGTGTTTATGGATCAAAAGACTCATTTATTATAAAGGTGCCGGTACATCCCAAGTTGTACAGAGCCATGTCATCAAAATTTCAGCAGACCATTTCTAGAAATTGACAAGCTAATTCTAAAATTCAAATGGAAAGGCAAAGAACCTACAATAGCCAAAACAACTTTGGAAAAGAGCAAAACAAGATTTGCATTACCTTGTTTCAGGACTGTTTTTAAAGTTACAATAATCAAGACAATGTGACATTGGCATAAAGAGAGGCATGTAGACCAATGGCAAAGGATAGAGTCCAGAAATAATCCAACTTATTTGTGATCAGTTGATTTTTCAACAAAAGTGCAAAGGTATTTCAATGGAAATATGTGATTGGGATTAGGCAAAGATTTCTTAGATATAAAGAAAGCACAATCTGTAAAAGAAGAAAACATAAATTTGCCTTCCTCAAAATTAATGACCTCTATTTCTTAAAAAGCAAGAAAATGAAAAATAAGGTACTGAATGGAGAAAATAGTTGCAAATAACATATCTGAGAAAATACTTGAAACTGAAATTGAAAAAGCGCTAATAAAGCCCAATAATAAAGAAACAACCCAATGAAAATGGGAAAAGCAAATAAACTTTCCTTTGCATTAACTTGAAAATAATTAGGCAAAAATTGAGAAAATGTGTGTCTCATGTCTAATACCAGTTTCTCAGTGCCAAATTAATTGGAGTAATTGTGATTAAAATCTAGACTACTTGACTATTGCAGATGAGAAATATGTGTTTGTCCTTGAAAATATATGAATAATGAATGTACTATTTATTTTCAGATCATTAAAATCTGTCGTCATACCTGAGAAATGATTATTTTTCTATAAGCATTTTACGTTATGCATAACACTTTCATGTGCATATGCTATTTTATCCTTATAACTGCCCAGTGATTGAGATATAATGCCCATTTAAGGAAACAGGTTCAGAAAGGCTTAGTTGCTTTCTCAAGATTACAACTGATAAGTGGCAGAATGTGCCCTGGATCTCTTGATTTCAAGTTGAATATTTAATTTTTGTATGTAAACTTCAATATTATACTGTCTATTGTAGGTTGAAATTTCACAGGCAAAAATTTCTAAAATGGAGTAATATAGAATTTGTAGATTGTCACAATAAAAAAAAAAGAAATTTCAGCTTTCCCATCTTGATTTTAAAACTAGTCCTCATTTTACTCTATGATATGATTCAAAAACTTAGTGAATTAATTTTCTCCTGTGGCCTTTTTTCTTATCTCCTTTTCCAATTTATTATTGCCTTGCCCTGCTATGAAGTTATGTATGGTACAGATACTAGGAAAAAAGGTTTCTTATGTGATCATTTCCAGACACTATCACACTCTAGCAAGGTCAGTATATAGTTGGCTCCTGTGTGGCAAAATACCATGCTATTGCATAATAGAAGCTACCATCACTGCTCTTTCCATGGTTTCCTTTGCATTCCTAGTGTAGGTCCAGAAAATCCATTAATAGAAGATATGTATATTCTGAATTTAATTATAAACTTAATTGTAATGGGTTTGCTATTTTTAGTTTCCATTGCTTAACTTCATAGTGGTATGTAAATGTAACATTTCATATTTAACTTACATAATTTAGACTCTTCCAATGTAAAGACGGGACAGTGAAGATCTGACTTCTAAAAGAAATCTAAAATTAATGTCAAACTCTGAAAGATTTGCATGTATTATATGCAAATATGTATTATGATTTGTAATGTATATTCTAAAGTCCTCCTTGATTGGTATTAAATACATTGTATTATTATAATTTTGAAAAATTTGTTTTCTGCATACTATTTTTAGAGAAAACTAGCATGGCAATATCAAATCTAGTTTGTTTACTTGAAAATGTTAGTGCCATCAAGTGGTGAAGAATGGATATTTCCAGATTTCCAAATTTGACTTAAATTTTTATATCTTCTCAAATATGCATATTTTTGTGTCTTTTTTAAATAACATAAATGCAGATGTTATAGTGAATAGTTCAAATTCAGCTGCTCACTATACCTCCTTTAAAAATAATAATTATGAATGGTGAATCATTAAATGAATTATTCTCTATAAGTAATATATAAACACTAATGTAATCTATGTCTTTTCAAAAGCCTTTATCAAGACTCTTTATTTTTTTTTAAATAATCTTTTTTTTTTTTTTCTTCTGAGACAGAGTCTTGCTCTGTTGCCTGGGCTAGAGTGCCCTGGCGTCAGCCTAGCTCAATCACAGCAACCTCAAACTCCTGGGCTCAAGCAATGCTTCTGCCTCAGCCTCCCAAGTAGCTGGGACTAACATTTTTAGTTGACCAATTAATTTCTTTCTATTTTTAGTAGAGATGGGGTCTCACTCTTGCTCAGGCTGGTTTCAAACTCCTGACCTTAAGCAATCCACCCACCTCGACCTCCCAGAGTACTAGGATTACCGACTTGAGCCACCACGCTCAGCCTATCAAGACTCTTAAAAACTAAAAAAGAAAACCCACCGTGTGAAGATAATTGAGTGTTACTCTATATAGTGTGACTTCATTATTATGAAAATATTCTTCTCCGTCATCAAAATGAATAGAAATTGGCTGACTCTGCAGTCCTGTAAAAAATGTGTGTTTTAGAAAGTTTTTTATTAAATAACTGATAGAACTAGATATAAAAAGCAGTCATATAAAAGCAAGTGTTTAAAATTATTTTTTTAATTTTTAAAAAGCAAGTGTTTTGTATAACCGTATCAATGTCCAATGATACAACAGTATCAATAGACATGCCACTGAACTACTCATTTTAAAATGGTTGAAATGTTAAATTTTATGTGTATTTCACTTCAATTAAAATATATATATCCACTTTCACAGAAAAAAAGAGAGAACTAACCTTAGGATTTGCAAAGGTGTTTATATAGAAAGTTCATTATAGCTATGAACATAGTCCTAAATACATGATCTTAAAAAACTAGTGTGAAATGTTAGTAAAAGAAAGTATATGTTATACTTGAGAGAAAAAACTTTATCAGCAAACAGAAACTGGAAGATCTCTACACCTTTTTTGTGTTTCATGATTTTACCATTATTAGATTTTTAATTGTACTTATGATGTACCAGTTTTGACTTTTTACCCAAATAGCAAATAAAGTAGATTCTATTATTTAAGCCACTTAAAAAGGTTTCAGCTCTTCTTTCATTGAGTTGTCATCAAACTTTTTCTGTAAAGATCCAGATAGTAAATGTTTTAGGCATTGCAAACCATAGCATCTCTGCACTTTTACTCAGCTCTGCTATTGTAGTCAGAAGCAGCCACAGACAGTACAAAAACAAATGAGCAGAGTTGGGCTCTAATAAAACTTTATTCATCAACCCTAAAATTTAATGTAATTTAATTTTCACATCACAAAATATTATTATTTTTTATTTTTTCGACTAGTAAAAATCATTCTCTAGCTCATGGACCTGAAAAAAATGCAGAGGGTCAGATAGGCCATAGTTTGCCAGCCTAAGTTTAGTTGATTCTCTTGGAATTGTTTTATTTGAATGAGCTGCTAGTTATGAACAATAGAAAACAGCAGACATCTCAGACCAACTGTGATATGTGTGACCAACAATGGAAAGAAGATCCCTAAGTTTTTGAAATGTACTTTTTAATTGGAAATTATTTTGGCCTAATACCAAGAGCAAAAATAGCTTTCAAGAAGAATACATTATTTTTCTGTGAATTATGTGTAGGTTGATCATAGTGTCTTGAATATTTGTTTACAAATTCCCATAATTACCCTAAATTTATCCTTAATGTCAAACATGCCTCCTAATTGGCACCCTTTAACTTCAATAAGAAGAAAATTATTTGTCTAAATTAAAAGTTAATCTAGACTTTGTTTTTTAGTATAATATTAAAACATCATAAATATATTTGATTGTAAATATATTTCAATATAATTTTAAAACATTATAAATATGATACAAAGGCATTATGTTCTATGGAATTAAAAAAGGAACTATAATAAGTCATTTTTTATGGGGTCAATCATTGATAGCAAGCCAAATTTCATTACTTAAAATCATTTTTCGTTGTAATTACTAAGTTACATTTTTGCAGTAGATGTTTTTAGATAATAGACAACTAGATGACATTGGGAGTTAAATATGTGACTTTTTTATGCTTTAAATACATTTTAATTCTGTAGGTGAGTATGCCTCAGCAGCAGATCTGTACAGAGAAGTGTTGCGCTCATCTGAGGAGCACAAAGGAAAACTCAAAACTGATTCACTTCAAGTAAGTAAAAACTAAACAGTTTCAAATATTCTATTTGTTTTTTACAAAATAATTTTTTCTGAATGTTTAAAAGGATAAAGGTTAAGATACAGAGTAAGTCATAATCATTGAGAATGAAGCCTGGGATTCAGTCCTTTTATTATAATAAGTACCCAAGGTGATTCATACATACAATAAAGTTTTAGAATCAATACTATTCCATCTGCTTGGAATAGTAGTTTTGGCCACAGGCTTGACAAGATAAATTTGTAATCTACATTAGAAAAATAGTTCAAGTTATTTGTACTTAAAGAATAAGTTATTTGTATCATTTTTGCATATGAATTTTTACCAAAAAGAAGTTACACTCAACAGTGGAACTAAGTAATAAAACCTATCCAATGATCTTATAATTTAATTTTTAGAGGTCTTTTAGGGAAATTTGTATATTTCAGTTATAACACTTATTTCTCTTTGCCACCTTGGTTCTTTTCAGTGGATCATATAGACAAGGCTATCTAGCTAAATGGAAAATAAAAACCAATTTTATTAATTTTGGCAAGTTTAGGCTTGAAGTCCCAAATGAGATGACTTTACCATTCAGAATATTGTCTTTGGAACTAACATATTCACATGTGCCACAATGAGTATTTGGAGGAATGTATGGGGGAGTGGAAGAAGAAAAAGTTAAATATGCATCTACTTATATTCTACAAGGATAAGGATTACAGAAGGCAGGCCCTAGACCTTAAGCAAGTGTGTTTGTCTCAGGAGGGAGTGCAAAGATATTCTCCTGAATAAAGGAAATAAAGTAGAAGAATGGAAATAGGTAAGTCTAGTATGCCTAAATTCAGGAGTGAAGAGTAAGGAGTCAGCCTGGTTCTTGCTTTTGAGTCATAGTAATCCTACTGACTGGGAAAGCATAGCTCACTGAATATCTTGCTCTGTCCAGTCAGACCAGCCGCTTTGTTCCCTTGGGATAAAACATAAGGGGGTGGAAAGAGATCACAGTATTCTCCCCATTTCACCACCATGTACAGAAAATTACAGAAGTCCTCTTCCACAAGCGTACATAGAGAAGACAAGTTTCTACCACTTCAAGTTTCTTTTTGCTATTAACTCTAATGATGTTACTGATTATATTGTCTATGAAGCCATGTTGACAAGACCGAAGACATTTGAGGTAATTCTTCTAGACTGACTACAAAGATTTGTACAGTGGCCAGTAATCTGTAGCTGAAGAGAATGAACCTTTAAAGTTTCAAATGACTGGCACCAAATCAGATCTTACCAGGACTCTTTCCCTGTCATCCTTAACCTTTAGCTATCTTTCCAGTAAAATGTCAAGTTAACGGATAGAAGCTACTTTCACTTTATTTCATAACCCTGCTTTCTTATTTATCTTATTATCCTTATTTTTATTATAATATATTAATAATTGCTAAGTTCATCCAGATTCATTTCCCAGGAGAAAAGGAATCAAGTCAGTGCAGTTAGCCTTTCTACTTTACTGAACTTATTTGGTTTATTCTCGTTTCCTTATATAGACAAATGTATGTATAACAGAAGAAATATATCTGCTGAATGCATAACCTTACTGCGTAGGACAGTATATTTTTAATTGAAGAAAATTCATTTCATAATTTAAGACCTTTGCTATAAAACTGACATCATTTTTCTCTCAAAAAGTTGGTACTCAAATTGTCAAATTGTTTTAGAGAAAAAGTATTTGGTGATATGGTCTTAACATGGTGTTAGTGCTCTGTATGCCATATGAATAGTAGGTTCTCACTAGAGTCCTGCCTCTGCATTGACTGTTGTAATTATTGCCTTTGGTGTGTCTATAGAGACTTCATGCTACCCATAACTTGATGGAATTGTTGATAGCCAAGCACCCAGGGATACCTCCTACCCTGCGAGATGGCAGACTTGAAGAAGAGGTAATTATTATTTTATCATTCTGTTTGTAAAAGTATATTTTTTCAAACTTTATGCACCATCTAAGTGATAGTTCTTAGGACATACAACATTTAAATAAATGTAAACATGTTTTCCTATTACTTTGACATTTCAAACTTTGCTGTGGTAATTTTAGGCGACAGAGACATCAGTACTCCATACTGTTTTGCTTCTTTGGTGATTGCTTGAAGTTATATAGTTACTGCTTGTTGTAGGTAGGCTGTCTGTAGCCAACAGCACAGAATGTGTAAATAAGCAACACATTGAAAAAAGGAGACTTTGTTGATCTCATGGCAGATCTACAAAAGATGTAGTTTATTAAGTATAAAAAGTTTTGTACTTTTTCCAACTCTTGCTGCATATTGTTAAAGGTAGTAACTAAACTCAATTTTTGTTCAAAGAAGTTCCCCTACAATAAGTGTTACTATCTTATTGTGCTAATTCTCCCAGGAAATTTTGCCATTTTTAAAAATAAAGGAGAAAGGACAAAGCTAAAAGAAAAAGAGTAGATAAGCTCAAAATGTATTGAACCTGTAAGTGAAGGCTTTATTTGAATCAATAAGATAAAAAAATGAGATTATATAAGTATGCATAGCCCTTTGACCACTGGTTGTGGGGTATTTTTTTTTTTTGGCTTTTTTTTTTTGGTGAACGGTTTGTTTATTTTAATTGACAAAAATTATGTATATTTATGGTGTATAATGTTTTGATATATGTAAATATTGTGAGATGGCTAAATCAAACTAATTACCTCACATTTTTTTTTGTAGTGAGAACATTTAAAATCTACTCTCCTAGCCATTTTCAAGTATATAATGTTGTTATTAACTATAGTGACCATATTGTATAATAGACCTCCTGTATAGACCTCCTATATATATATATATATATATATATATATATATATATATATATAAAACATACAAAATACAAAATAAAATGTCAGTCGACTGTTATGTAAGACTTCTGGTCTACAGCAGGCTCTAAGTAGTTAATTTTTAGGGGGACTTATATATATATATATATATATATATATATTCTGTATTCTTACAATAAAGTAGGCTGGAGAAAAGAAAATATTATTAAGAAAATCATAAGGAGTAGAAAACATACTTACTGTTCATTTCTTGGAAGTAGATGGTCATAAAGGTCTTCATCCGCATTGTCTTCACATTGAGTAGGCTAAGGAGGAAAAGAGGCGGGGTTGGTCTTGCTATCTCAGGAGTGGCCGAGGTGGAAGAAAATCCATGTATAAGTGGTTCCACTTAGTTCAAACTTGTGTTGTTCAAGGGTCAACTGTATATACCACATTTTTTTATTCATTCATCAGTTAATGGGCACTTAAGGTTGATCTGGGCTATTGTGAATGATACTGAAATGAACATGAGAGTGCAGCTATCTCTTCCACATACTGATTTCATTTCTTTTGGTTATATACTCAGAAGTGGAATTGCTGGATCACATGGTAGTTCTATTTTTAATTTTTTGAGGAACCTTCATACTATTTTCTATAATGGCTGTCCTAATTTACATTACCATCCGTAGTGTACAGGGGTTCCGTTTTCTTGACCTCCTCACCAAAACTTATCTTTCATCTTTTTGACAATAGCCATCCTAACAGATAGGAGGCAATAACTCATTGTGGTTTTAATTTTCATCTCTTTCATGATTAGTGATGTTGAACACCTTTTCATATACCACTTGGCCATTTGTATTAGTATGTTTTCTTTTGAAAAATATCTTTTCAGATTCTTGATTATATTTTAATTTAGGTTGTTTTCTTCCTATTGAGTTGTTTGAATTCTTTACATATTTTGGATATTAACCCCTTATCGTATATATGATTTGCAAATATTTTCTCCCATTCTATAGGTTATCTCTTCACTCTGTTGTGGTTTTGTTTTGTTTTTTGGTTTTCATGGGTTTTTTGCTGTGCTTTTGACTTCACTGTTCTTGATGTTAGATGGCAATCTAAGTGTTGGAAGTTTTCAAGTAAAATTTCATTCCCAGCATAACCATCTAATCCTTGCACTTTTCATTTAAAGGCCTTCGGTGACAGGAAGCTATTGTATATCTGGGTGACAACCCACTCTATTAGTGGACAGCTCTAATGACCAAATAATTATAACCAAGGACTTTTAATAAAAATTAATTGGAAGATTATGACAGGGAGAGTTAAAATGCATAAGAAGAAGTGCTCATACTATATAGATGTATTTCTAAGGAGGCCATATTATCACTTTGTCTAATTGTCATAGAATATGAAGCCACAGTTTTTCAAAGCTGGACAAGATCCTAGAATTTATCTTCAACCACTTCCTTTTATAAATGAAGTAATGGAAGCTCAGGGAAGTGAAATGGCTATTCCAAAGAGGTGTATCTATTCAGTTGAGCCATATGAAATTGCCATTCATTACATTCATTACAATAGAACACTAATAATATCGGATTGAAGCCCTACTTCTGACCTTGTTTAACCTTATTTACGTCCTTAAAGGCCCTAACTCTAAACACATTCACATTGGCAATTAGGGCTTCACATATAAATTTAGGGGGAACACAGTTCAATCTGTAATACCTGTGTTACTATATATTCTCAAGTATTTTTTTTAAACTCAAGTAATGCGAAGAAACTGTGATAACTAAATTAGACAAGGAATTCTGTAATAAGATGTCCTTGCTTTGCCTCTTAATTTGAAATATTACTGTCATTTTTCCCCTCTGTTTTTTTCTAATTAAGAAACTATTTAAATAAAATTTGGGTAATGGATATTTGCAATTTCTTAAATTTTGTGACTTGGACAGGTAAATTTTGTTCTCTTCCCTATCTCAGAAATTTCTAGCATGATTTTTATTTTATCTATAGTATACCTGTAGAGTTTTATGTTTAAATCAAATTAAGTAGTTTTAAATATATAAAATGACCACATTGTTCTTCAAACATAATACTACACTATTTTCTATAACTGGAGTGAAAGTTTGTTTTTACTTTCTGTTTCAACACAGGCCAAACAACTTCGAGAGCACTATATGAGCAAGTGTAATACAGAAGTTGCTGAAGCCCAGCAAGCTTTACAGCCTGTGCAGCAGACCATACGTGAGCTTCAAAGAAAAGTATGTCCCCAAAATGCAGTGTTTTTTACTTGTCTTTGATTCCATATATCATTTTGTTTTTGTTTTGGGGGGAGGGAGAAACTTAAATTTCCTTATTCATCATGGAATTCATAGCACCTAGTACAGTGCCCCACCCATAATACAAATTTATTTACCGTTATTAGTAAGGTTTATTGGTTGAATGAATAGATACATAGCTAAAGCAACTATTTGGAGGTTGTCTTTTATTTTTTTAAAACTATAATGGGTTTCCTCTTACCTTGGGTATGTAACAAGTTGTCTTTTGAAGAAAGTAAAGACTTTTGTAACCTCGTTTTGATCTTGAATATGTATGTTTCCAAAATCTTTTCTTTTAAGATGTTACATTAAAACCACAGATATTTTTCTTATGGAATACATACCATTTATCATTTCTAAAATTTCTCTTTTATGCAATCAGTAGCAAAGTCTAAAGAGGAGGCTATACAAATACACTTTTATTTTTCATTTTTTAATGAGTTGCTCTATATTTTATTCTCCATAATTCATTAATTACTAAATATCCAGGCATATGATTTTATTACTATAGGTTATTCATTGAGTAGAATCTAGTTCTATTAGTCAAAGATTAGAATGAAGGCTTTCTGTATTACACTGAGAAAGATATTTATGATCTTTTCACATGTAGAAAGTATCGAATTTTCATTTTGGCGTAAAGTATTTTTTTAGCACAGCTTTGTTAAGTGTGTGCAATATTTCATTCATCCAGAGTAGTCAGAAAACAGGTGTTCTCTTTAATTATGTATGCAAAAGAAGCATTTAACCATTATATGGATAGTATGTATATTTGTCTCCCCTCTATTATATAATTCCTTTGATAATTGCATTTATTGCTTTCTTTGAATTATGCAAATCACCCTTCCCAATGATAGAAGCATAATAAAAAAAATTAATTGTACTAAAAATATTAATTGATCAGTTATTGTCTTTTTTACAGATTCATTCTAATTCTCCTTGGTGGCTGAATGTGATCCACAGAGCAATAGAATTTGCTATTGATGAGGAGCTTGTTCAGCGAGTGCGAAATGAAATAACCAGCAACTATAAGCAACAAACTGGCAAGCTTTCTATGTCAGAGAAGTAAGAAAATAGCACAAAACATATTAACTATAATCACCCCAAATATTCAGATCATTCAATATTTAGAGGTATAATTAAATACTAGAACATATTTTGGTTATAAATGTATGATTTTTACATTTTGTTAAGAGTACATTTCAAAGAAAATTATTAGGTATAATTCTAAAAGAGAAATACTTTCATATATTATTAATATCTATTTTAAAATACTCTCTTTTAGTGCCTTTTTAAAATCTGCTTAAAGTATTTTCTTTGTTGGATACACCTAAAGCCAACTTTAAGCAATGTGTTCTTGGTTGTTTTTTTTTTTTGTTTTTTTTTTTTTTGATAGTTTGCAGAAATTTATTAACATAGAAAGATGTTTAATCTTCTGTCCCATCAGCATCCATTGAAGTGCCTACAACAAAAACCACTTTTACCTACTATTCTGGATTTCAATTCATATGACACTTGTTGTTAGGGTGGAAAGTTTAGCAGGTGCTCATGGTGCCGGTAGAGAAAGATTTCTCACACAGAGATTAAGATATATAAGTAAAATTTATTTTATCATTTAGAAGGACAGGAAGAATGAGAGAGAGAGAGAAGGGTGGGGGAAGAGATCAGAGAGATAGCATGGCATCCCATAGAAAGAATGGAGATGCCAACACCAAGGCCAGGTGGCTCACTGATTTTAAGGGTGTTGAAGAGAAAAAAAAATAGCGATGCTGTCAGTTGATAACAAAAGTGGTGGCAGTAGGTAGATAAAAAATACAAGGATGTCAAAGTCCAAAAGTTGGTTTCCTGCCTTCCTTGGAGAAGGGATAATTACAGGAGATGTCACTCTGTCTTGGAGATACATTGAGGGTTGGAACTGGTTCTCTTGCTGTTTACTCAGGAACTCTGTAAAAGCACATTCTCAAAAAACAGTTGTGAAAGAGATATTTACATCTCTTTTCCATCCATTCAGCTTTCTTCAGAAGTTGTGCAAAGCAGAACTTCTGCAGGGTATCTGTTAGTTAGACAACTCATAGTATTGACCTTTAACCGTTATTGGGGAAATTATAGGATTAAGTATTTTCCTATGTGGGATTAGGTGTTTTCCTGTTGTTTTTGCAAGGCTGCCCCTTGCACTTGTTTTAAAATGGCTTTTGTTTTGGAGAATTTCATCCTTGACATAACACATTCCCGCTTCCTCAGTGTGATTTTAAATGTTTTCATTTAGTCTTCCAAAAACTTTCTCAAATGTCTGCTAAAAGAAATATGCCACATTTTTCATTTGTGTTATTACACTCATCTTTTTGACCATACAGAAGCTGATAGGCTTCCTATTCATGAAGTATATGCAATATTTATGTCTTGAGTGCATTCCCTTGTTTTCTATTAAGCCCAAGGATCTCAATTTCAGAATAAGTTGCCAATTTAGTCATGGTTCATTTTAATCATTTTTAAAGCTATATCCTAATGCTGTGATCCCCAACCCTGGGGCCATGGACCATAGTGATCTGCAGCTTGTTAGGGACCAGGCTGCAGAGTTCTGCCACCCCTCCTGTACCCTTGTCTGTGGAAAAATTGTCGTTCATGAGACTGGTCCCTGGTGCCAGAAAGGTCGAGGACCACTGTTTATTCTGCCAGCATTGTTGAAACAGCAAAGAAAATATTAAAATTATTTTGAAGTTGTTTTTCTTAAATTACACAGGAACTACTTAAAAGATATAAATTATCGTATTAGAATACATCCTTATTGAATGTTTTGAGGTCCCAGATCTATAAAATTACCACTAGGAAACAAAACATATCATTTATTATAGAAACATTCTTTTCATAAACATTGGGTATAAATAGAAAATAACAAAGTATATTTCAAAACATGCAAGGTAACCATATAAAATACCTATAAGTAAGTTAATTTTTTAAATATTACTATATATTCAGAGATTTTACTATTGTCTGTGTTTTTATATGAAATTGATATATCAAAAGCCAAATTATTCATGTTTGCTAGTTAATGATTGTTGGGAAAGGCTCTTAGCTTAGTGAAGAGCACAGCTGGGTACTCTAGTCAGATTGTTATGTTCATACTCAGTGCCACCACTTACAAGTTCTGTGTCCTTGAAAAAGTTACTTAGGCTCTGTGCCTTAGTTTCTTCATCTGTAAAACCCCTCAGCATTGTTGTTAGAATTAAATAAATTAACATTTGTGAAGGACTTACTTAGAATAGTGTAACAGTTACCTTCTATTATTATTTTCTTCTCTTTCATTTAAAGGACTGCAAGAGGAAACATTGCTCAGAATGGTTAATGCTGATCTGTGATAATATTTTTCACCCCTATTCACATTATTCGGATATGTGTTGGTGGAGAAAAATTTTGTGAAATTACATCTTTTCTTGGAAACTTAAATTTCTAATAAGTTAGAAATCAAAACCTTGTTTTCTTTTTGTGAATAGTATCGATATCTAACCTAATTTTGTTCAAGTATCTATGCAGATTGTTGAGAAATTATTGAGCAGCTATTCTGTGCCAGTTATATATATATATATATATTTTTAAAGGATATGATATAATTCCTGCCTTCTAAAAGTTAGCTCAATGAGAAAAACAAGACCCACAAGCAGTAATATGAGTAATATGATTATGTATGAAAACTGAACATAACAAAATACTAAAATGAGTATTCAATAAACTTCATGGACAGAAAGAAACATAGATGAGTGCTGGAAAATATTAAGGTGAAAAATATTAAGGCTTCAGGAAGGAGGGCAACTTTTTTTGAAAAATTTGGTGAGGGGGATATATGGTATTTCAGGAAGGAAAGTATATAGTCTTAACTTTGAACTCTTCATATTTTCCAGTTTCTAATTTCTGATTATTTTAGGCCTTCTTTTTCCTTTCATAAACCCATACACACATCCATAGCCCTTTTCATTCAGAGTTTATCAAAATGGTTAAGAACACTATAGCCCTTTTTATTCACGGTTTATCAAAATGGTTAAAAACACTGTAGTTGAGCTTAACTCTGACACACATTTGTGACTTTATTTACCTTAATTTGTTATATTTCATCCATAATGTTGTGGTAGCAAAATTATTGAAGTTACACAGGAAAAGTGCTTGGCAAAGTACCTGGCATAGAGTAAATGCTTCATATTTAATTAAACATATATATTTAAATGAGGAATACAACTCTTGGTTAGTTTTTTTTCTTTTTTCCCAATTTTCTGTCTTTATTTATCATTCTGCATTCACCTCTCCATATAGAGCAAGGGTGTCAAGGGGACATTTGTAGTCATTTGGCCTTACAAAGGAAGAATGTGGCAATCCTGATCTTTCAAAGATATCTGAGACAGAGATTTTGTATACTCTTTCCATTTTGAGCATAGGACTATCCAAATCTTTTGATGTCTTTTGTAGTAGACAAGCCAATGTTATTGTACCTTGACTATTAGATCCCGATTGAATACACTCCTGAGGAAAACACATTCAAGTGCGGCTGGGTAAAATGTAGCACACAGTTTCTTTAGCACTTTGCTTGGCAGCCATTTTCTGAATTTGAGAAAATTGACTCTTATTTTTTTATTTGTGTTGTGTGTGGTGCTGGTGGTGGGAATCAGATTTCATGACTGTAGAGGTCTTCAGTTCTTACTTACAACACAAATGGAAGAGCTATATAAATTCCAGAAGCTAGTAAGAGAAGCTGTAAAAAACCTGGAGGGACCTCCATCTCGTAATGTTATTGAATCTGCAACAATCTGCCACCTCCGACCAATTCGACTTCCTCTCAACTGGTAGGTAGTAGAAGAATTTATACAGTGAAATGGTACCATTCCATTAAGCTAGATTTCTTCTGAGAGAAGAAACAATACAATAAATATTGTTCGTATAATCATATAATATCATATAATAAAACTTTTTTCATTTTAATTCAGACAGAAATAGAGATATATTGTTAATCTAATTTTAAAAAAACTCAGGGACCAAGTACTGAAAACCATGTAATTTTTTTCTAAAATGGCATATATGGTATAAATAATAAATAAATTACAAAATACTAAGCTTCTATTAGCAATTACCTGAGTGCTAGTTATGTTTGTGACTATTTCTCTGATACTCTTTTTTCAGCTGTGTCTTTTGTAAAGCTGATGAATTATTCACAGAGTATGAATCAAAGCTATTTTCTAACACGTAAGTTCTCTATTTGATTATTGCCCATCAAGAAAATTAAACATTTTACAAGATTTAGTGTTTGATTATAAGACCATATTTTGTTCACAGTGACCTGTCTTATATTTTTCACTTCATTAAATCAAGTAAGTAAACCCTTGGCATTTGATCATTTAACATGCTCAGTTTTACATGTGCAGAAGTTACTGCCTAAATATTCATGTCATGGTAATGTGTAATTAATTGAGGGGCAATTTAGAAGAGCAGTAAGATCCCAGGCTCTAGTCTGACCAATCCCTTGAGTTCTAGTCCGAACTCAAATCCCTGCTCACTGTTCTGAGCAAATTACTTCTCTAAGCCTTAGTGTCCTCATTCATGAAACAAAGATAATAATATCTCTTCATTGAAGTTTTGTGATAAGAAAATGCACATAATTGTTTAGCACAGTGCTTGATACATAGTAAGAATCCTATCATGTTGTCTCTCATTATTAATACCCTTTCTACGTACAAAGTCTTCATCCTGTGTTGGGGATTAAGCTACCCAGTGAGTACCTATAACCATATTAGGAGCAAAATTACCTGTATTTTATAAACTTGGAAATTGAGAAAAGGTTCTAAGTCAGATTGCCTTGAAAAGAAGGATTGTTAGTGTACTTTTAGATCATGCTATCCTTTTCTTTTCCTTTTGCATGGTCATTGGTTGTGATTTATGTTTTAATTCTCAGAGTGAGATTTATAGTTTGGAATTTATTTATAGCTTGGAATTTATAGATGTTTTTGATTATGCCATATTGCTCTCAGGAAACACTGGACAAATTTATGACACTTCCAGCATTTTCAGAATTGCTATGGTTTTTCCAAAGACTTGCAAGCATGATATTATAGATATCACACTGAAGTTGTTGAAAAGTTATTGACCTTGCTTCCGTATTTGTTCTGCCAATATCACTCATTTACAAGTGCTTCTTACCCACTGATAGTAGTTACTATTGTTTTGTTCTGGTATGTTTTCAGAGTCAAAGGCCAGACTGCAATATTTGAGGAGATGATAGAAGATGAAGAAGGACTGGTAGATGATAGAGCACCTACCACCACCCGGGGTCTGTGGGCAATAAGTGAAACGGAACGATCTATGAAAGCAATACTATCATTTGCAAAATCACATAGATTTGCTGTTGAATTCATTGATGAAGGAAGTACTTCAATGGATCTCTTTGAAGCATGGAAGAAAGAATATAAGGTACAGAATTTTAAAACTTCCTTCCCATTTTAAAAATTTTCCTTTTTCACATTATTTTAATTGCTTTCATTTTTCTCTCCAGCTTTTTAAAATCTTCTCTGGAGATTAAGGTGTCATTATTTTTCTTTCCCTAAAATGTAACTATTGTAATAAGGAATTACTAATACAATAATACTCAACATATAAGGACATTCTATTTATTAAATTACTAAAAGAAAATCATTATTGAACTGAAATTTATATGAAACCTTTTGTTTAGCTGTGAAAATGTTTCATTCTATTCTTAGCTTCATTTTATGCTGCTATTCTTTGAAATTAGAGTTTTGTTTTTATTTTTATTGTGCTTTTGCTCTATGATAAATAGCCAAATATCAACAATCTTAAACATTGGGAAACATAGTAAATACTTCTCAACCTACAAGAGGTTGGAAACCATTCTAATGGTAAAGCACAAAGTGGCCTGTCATATTTATATTTTCATGATTTCATCATATTATAACTCTGTACTGGAGATGAGATTCCAGAATTCATTAACTTAGAATTATTCTTTATATTTGGATTTGTTATTCATTATCCTACTTTGCAAGTGAGATGGGTAGGGAAAGGAAAGAAGCATGTCATTTATTTATGTCGTAATTCCATTCAATATCTTTTTTTTTAAGTTCTTCTTAAAGTTTGGAGAAAAATTTTTATGCAGAAAAAGAAGTTGTCTATAATATCAGTTCATACATTTGATAAATTGGGGTATACTTTTATAAAGTCAAAATCTTTGGTTCAGAATAATAATTTTTTCGTCACACATTACTATTGTAAATACAGAGCACATTAACACTGTTTATTATAGCCAGGCATGGAAGAAGAGTATTATATACAATGTCCAGTTGCCCTGTATTCTTCCTTTTGGCTCAGTTTGGTTACATGCTCTTTGTCCAGAGGAGTGCTTATTGTGTACTTCTCCCACAATAAACACTGTTGGAGTGCTTCTCCCACAACCCAGGTTTTTATGCATTTCTTTCTGCATAACTTTACAGACCTTTTCACAGAAAAGAAAATAAATGGGCTACTGCTATATGTATCAACCAGGATCTACCTCAAAATATAAAGTTAGTGAAGAAAGCATGTCAAAAAATTATGCTAATTAATACCATTTCTATAAATTTACGAAACATATATAACCAGATTATTAAGGATACATACTTGTAGTATAACTCCAAGAGAAAGTCTGTAACAATAAATACAATTCAGAATAGTAGTTACCCCATTGTTGGGCCTTTCCTCACATATTCTTTGAAGGAGGAGTATGTGAAAAGAGACTGATACAATTGAGAAGGAACACAGCAGAGGCTTTCCTGAGAATTTTTTCTTAAACTGGATGGTGAATACTCAGTTACATTCTTGTTGCCATATATATTATTTTGAATATGTGAAATATGTTACAATAAAAACACTTAAAAAAAATAAAGCAGAGAAAAGATTCCATCAGCCCGGTATTGAACTGTAAAGATCTTTGGTTCCACCAAGGAATCTTTGGATATTCTGTTCCTAAGAATCTAAAGAGGCAGTATCCTGTGGAGATTTTTTAGTCTCACTTCCTCATTCTAAATTGGCCCAAAGAATTATTGTTTGTACTTTAGATGCTTAATGAAAAAACATGTATGTCTAAAACCTCATGAAGACTATTGTTCAAGACACATCTTGATGATTTTTACCAATTTTAATTATGTGCTTTACCACTCACTGTCTTTGTTTTTTCTGTTCTTTCAGTTACTTCATGAATATTGGATGGCTCTGAGGAATCGTGTATCTGCTGTTGATGAACTTGCAATGGCAACAGAACGACTAAGAGTGCGTGATCCTAGGGAGCCAAAACCCACTCCACCTGTTCTTCATATCATAGAACCACATGAGGTAATTTGCAAGTAAATCACAGGAAAAGGCACAGCAAATAGATATAACAAAAATTCAAGACCTGTTGAAAAAAGAGAATCAGGACAGTGATCTCTTTTATAAGTATGTATTTAATCTCCATTCTTAATTTGAGCCATTGTTTTTATAGGTCTAAATAGGTCAAAGGTGAGAAATTTCATATCTATTCTATGTTTAGCATTAACTACTTTGGTGCATTTTGTTTGTTCCTCTGCAGATTACATAGTCATCTTATTTTTTGAACACCCTTTTGTGCTATTAATAAAACCTACAGGTATTCTCAGTTACTCTTTAGATATATTTTCTATTACCTCAGTTTTATCAGAACTAGAAAGCTTTTAGAACAACTAAAAGCTTTTCTTTTTCAGTGTTTGCTTTTGCTAATGATGAACAGATACCAACAATTTCCAATAAGTTCTCCTTTGTATCTCAGGATTAAAACATAACTCCATCAGTATTTTTATTTCTATATTAAAAATATTCCCTTTATAATCTATTTTTATCCTTTGTGTGTTTTAAATCTGTTTCTTTAAGGCTTGGAAACTAATTTAGAAAAAAATTGAAATATTCATTATATACTATTAATATCTCACGTATGAATTCTGAGTAAGTTTTTCTGAGAAAACAAATTCCTCTTATTTGAGTGCTCCCTTTCTGTTTGCTGTATTCTACTGGAGGAAGGAAGGGCAGTAAGATTCTTCCCTGGATTTTATAAAATTACTCAGGCCAAAGCATTAAATCATATAAATTTTCTTCATCCCATATATATATTACTGGAAAATGGTACATAAGTAGAATTGGGGTTGATTTTTATCTGACCTCAGGAATATAGGGATGCTTCCTATTTAAAAGAACTTTAGATTGAATTTTGCCTTCTATAAAGTGAAAAAAAAATCCTTCTGAAATATCTAGTATTCATTTTACAAATTTGAATTTTAAAATATAAATAGGTTTTCTTTTTTTTCAGATTTTTTTTTTTATCATTTCAGAATATTGTGGGGGTATATGCATTTGGTTACATGGATTGCTTTTTTACTTCTTGAGACAAAGTTATAAATGTGCCTATCTCTCAGACAGTGTACATTGTACCCATTAGGTATGATTTCACCCATCCCTATCCTCTCCCCTCCCATAAATAGGTTTTCTTAAAACAAGATACATATATATTATTGAAGAATTGTTGAGAGAGAATAAAGAAGTTTTTGGTTTTTGTTTCTTTTTTTAGGTAGAACAAAATCGTGTAAAACTACTAAATGATAAAGCCGTTGCTACATCACAGCTTCAGAAAAAACTTGGGCAGCTTCTTTACCTAACTAATTTGGAAAAGGTATTGTTTTCAAGGGATGCTCCTTTTTTCCATGCAGTATTATCATAAACCACTTTATTAGTGACTCCTTCCATTTAATCTTGTAGGCCCATAATTAATGGTAACAGGTTTTTTTTTTAAGTCTTATATTTGTGTTAGTTATGAGTCTGAACACTATCTCTGTCTCTATAATAGTTACACAGAACCCAAAAGAATATTATCCACAAAAATTATATCCACAAAAAATTGTAAGTTACATAGATGATGTAAAAAGCACGCACTCTGTAGTAAAGAACAATGTAAACCAATCGTAGTTCAAATGCCTGAATAGTAGAAGTATCCCAATATACCTCTTGGTGAAAATTGCATTATATAATATATACACATGCATTCATTCATACATATATGGATATTTTTTAATTTGTTATTTGAAACTGTGAAATGTGTTTGGAAAGCTACTAAATCAGAAGACATGGTAATGAAGGTGAACTTCAGTTATTTAATATAATTCACAACACATTTTCTGAGTTGTGATCAAAGTGTAATATTGGACATTGAGTTGATGGGTCATTAATGAATATGATTCTATTTTACTGCAAGAATTCATAGTCTGCCATTTGGCAGAACATCTTTTTGGAACAAGATATAGTAATAGATATTTAGATAGGGCAGATTAAGACAAGCTATAGACTAGAGTTGGTTCTGAAAACCACTGTTACATATTTAAGTGAATCAGTAACTTCCAGTGATGACATAATGAAAACTTGGACATTCATTATAGGTAAAATAGCATGTGGTGCTTAAGATGATAGACTTTGGATCTAGATAGCCTAATTTTGAATGAAGACTCCACTGTTTTCTAAATATGTGACTTTATCCAAGTTATTCACCTTTCTTTGCTCCATGGTTAAAATGAGCATAATATCAACGCTATCTAAGGCATTCTTGAGAATTATATGAATTAACATATATAAAGTACTAGAATAGTTCCTGCTTTATTAAGCACTTTCTAGGTGTTTGAAGCTATTGATATTATTGACATCATTATTACTATTTATTACTATGATTACCAGTACTGTTATTCTGAAGAGGAAAAAGAAGGAAAGAACATTGAAAAGTCAGTCTCATGCAAAATGGTGGCATTAAGAAAATAAGATTTAGGGAAAAAAGTCCCAACATTTCTGGACTTGAGTTTTTAAAACGTAAAATTTCTATACTCTAAATATGATAGTCAAAATGAAGAGACAGTTCATCATCTGTTAATTGTAAATCATCTGTATGTTGAATTATTTTTAAAAAATTAAAATTCCAAGGATATAAATAATCTACCTAGGAAAATCCAATCTGGCTAATAATATAAGAAAAAGCATTTAATGTATAAATGAAGGAAAATCAAATTGCACAGGTACCATTTTCTGTTGACAAGTAGGCAAAGATTTTTTTAAATAACTCTACCCAGTGGTGAAAGGGCAGTGAATGAATATATTTTATGCATTACCAGTGGGACTTTAAATTGATATAAGCTTTCCTGAAAGCACTGTAACAATATGTATCAACAATTTTATGCAGATTGTCTCAAATCCAAAATACTGCAATGAGTATTTCCTTTGAGCATCATATCAGTACTTAGAAAGTTTTGGGTTTTGAAGCATTTCACATTTCAGATTTTTGGATTCAGGATCCTCAACCTGTATGTGAAAGAAAGATGGACAACATATATAAAATGAATTGGAATCTATACAGTAGAATCAAATGGACATTTTAGAAATACAAAAATACAGTTATCAGTAATCAAAAATTCATGGAGACCAAACATAGAAAAAGACCTCAAGCACAGGGCAGTAAAAAATATCCAATTTAAAGAAACATAGAAAGAAAAATAAAAAGATTTGAGGCACAATCATATTATCTAGCATACCTGTAATTGAAGTTTAAGAGGAAAAGAGAATGGGACAGGAGCAACTTGAAGAGATAATGGCTGAGAATTTTCTAAAACTGGTGAAAACAATGTGACACTGTCTACAGATTAGAGAAATTTTGAGAAGCCTGAGGAAAATAAGTAAGCAAAAAACAAAAATAACACCTAGATACATCAAAACCAAAAATGATGGGGAAAAAAATCTAGAGTTGAGAAAAAAGAGATAATATTTACAAAGAAGTATTAATAAATCTGGTGACTACACAGAGATTTTTTTCTTTCAGCCTTTAAAGATGTTCTACTGTTACCTGATTTCTATGGCTTCTCTATGTAACCAGGTTAACACTGGAAAAACATCATCATCTAGAGACAATATCCTTTTTTTAAAAAATGAATTAAAGTTATTTTCAGATAAACAAAAACTGAAGGCAGTAATCCCCAATAGACTCACATCACAACAAATATTAAAGGAAGTTCTTTGAACTTAAGAAAGTGATTAATCAAGAAAAATTATCCCACATTGAAGGGTGGAACTACAAGAAGAAATGAAGAGCAAGGGAAAGCTTAAATATGTAGATAAATATAAAAGAATATTGACTGTTTAAAGCAACAATACTATTGTATGGGTTATATACAACATATATAGAACTAAAATACATGATAGCACAAAGGAAGGAAGTAAACAGAGGTAAACTATAAGATTCTTTAATACTTCATAGAAATGGACCAAAAAAATCCATAAGGATATTGAACATTTGAATACTGGGGACAAACATGACCTTATTGACACCGACTACTGTACTCAACCTCTGCAGAATACATATTTTTTAGGCATACATGGAACATTTACCTTATGATAGGCCTTATGGTGAGTCAAAAAGCAACTCTTAAATTTTCAAAGGATTAAAAGTATACAAGGGTATATTTCCTGACTAAAGAGGAATTAAACTAGAAATCAGTAATGGAAAGACGACTGGATAAATCCTCAAATGTTTGGAAATTGACAGCATACTTCTAAATAACCCATCGGTCCAAGAAAAAGTCACAGTGGAACTTAGAAAATATTCTGAACTGAATGAAAAAGTATGTGACAGTCCAGCTAAGGCATATTTAGAGAGAAATTTGTAACTTTTCATCAGGGATCTGCAAACTGCCATGTATGAGAGAAATTCAGCCTACCACCTTTTTTTGTAAGTAAAGTTTTATTGCAATACCGTCACATCCACTCATTTACCTATTGTCTGTGACTACATTCACCCACTATGCAGAGTTGAGTAGTTACAGCACAGACCATATGCCCACAAAGCCTAAAATATTTATAATCTAGGCCTTCACAGAAGAAGTGTCAACTCTTTTCTTTAAATACTAAGAAAAGAAGAACGATGGTAAATTATGGTAGATTGTTTGTAAAGTGCTGCAATAATGCCCCTCCTCCATGTGTATGTGCCTATAAGCAATCCCTCCCATCCTGACTCTGGACTTGGTCAGATAACTTGCTTTTGACCTTCTGCTACAAGCAAAGACCTGAAAGGTCCATGCTTATTGGGTTCTCCCAATCCTTGTTGCTCTTTGGAACTCTGAGACTATGTGAAGAAGCCTAGTTTACCTTTGTAAACTCAGCTCAGCCTTCCCCACAGACCAGCTAGCATAGCAGCTCAGCCTTCCCCACACTCAGCTCAGCCTTCCCCACAGACCAGCTAGCATAGCAACCACCAGACACGAGCACATGACCCTCCTAGGCCTCCAGCCCCAGCCAAGTCAGCCCATCCCAAAATCCCCCAGGTGACCTATAGAATCATGAGAAATGAGCGTGTACTAAATTTTTAAGAGATTTATTATATATTGTCTGAAACAAATCAATAATTAACAGAGGAAAAGAGTAATTAAAATTGTTCAACTTTTTAAAAGGCCTGCACACATCCGTTTTAGTTAATGGAATTCAAGGAGTGAGTTGGAGTGAGGATTTGGAGTTCCTGAATCCATGCACAATTTAACATTTTCTTTGTACTGCTTATGTGTCAAAGGATAATTTTTTAAAGGTGTCTGGTTAGTGAAATCTCAGAAACTTTAGTGATCACTCATCTCATTTACTTTAAATTTTTCTCAGTTTTGAAACCTGTCTACTTGGTGACGTTTTTGAAACTCTTTCAATGTTTATAATAATTTTAAGGCAATTTTTAAAAGTTATTGTATTTTGATGTAATTTCTAGGTATCGAAAGGTCTCAAAGCAATATTTCTGCTTTCCAGTTATTTGCCTTAATGAGATTTGAAAAAGAATGCTGAGGAAGCCAATATCAATAAGGAGTTATATTATATAAATAAATTCTGCCTCTTACCCGATGATCCCATGCAAAGAAGACATGAAGAATAGCTTTTTCCATGATTTTTTAGGAGCCTTTGTTTCAATTATAAATTTATATTTTTAAGTAATTTATATTTTTTTGTTGTTGTTGAGACAGGATCTTGCTCTGTCACCTGGGCTAGAGTGCAGTGACATCATTATAGCTCACTGCAACCTCAAACTCCTGGGCTCAAGTGATGTTCCTGCCTCAGCCTCTCAAGTAGCTGGGGCTACAGAAGCGCACCACCATGCCTGGCTAATTTTTCTGTTTTTTTATAGAGACGGGGTCTCACTCTTGCTTAGGCTGGTCTCAAATTCTTGGCTTCAAGCAGTCCTCTCTCAGCCTCCCAAAGTGCTAGGATTATAGGCGTGAGCCACCATGCCTGGCCATAATCCATATTTTTAATAAAATATAGCCTGAAAATAAAATTTTGAAAATTTATCTGCTTTTAGTTTTGCCTTCTTTTATATAATCACAAATACACCAGCATGATAATTTAAGTTATAGGTTGAGTCTCCCTTATCTGAAATGCTTGGATATAGAGTGTAATTCAGAGTGTAAATTTCTTGCCAATTTTGGAATATTTGCACTATACTGATTGATCATTCTAATCTGAAAATCGAAATCTGAAGTGCTTCAATGAATATTTCCTTTGAGCATCATGTTGATGCTCAATAATTTTTGGAATTTGGAGCATTTCAGATTTCAGATTTTTGGATTAGGCATACTCAAACTGTATAATAAAAATTGTTTTCATTTTTTACTCCTTGAATAAAAATTTTTGTAAGTCCTAGGAGTAGTAATATTAGTTAATATATAAATTATTAGGTCATCTCAATTATTAGATTATTTAAATTGTGATTGTCAGCATTTACTTCTATAAATGTGTTACAAAACATTTATCAGATTTTAAATGTAAAAATGTAACTAATATGTTTTTGAATTTTTCTTTTTTGGATAGTCTCAGGACAAAACATCGGGAGGTATTAATCCAGAACCTTGTCCAATCTGTGCTCGACAACTGGGAAAACAGGTGAAATTATAATAAACGTTACATTCACTTATAAAATACCTTACAGTTTTCAAAGGTTCCTACACGTAATATGTTTCTCTCTTTACTCTTTTTCTCACAAACTGTTTATATGAAAGGCAAGTATTACTTTCATCTTAAAGATAGCACCAGAGGTTAGCTGAGAAGCTTAGGGTTACATATGTTTGAGCAATATTTCTAAATGATAAGTGAAAAAATATTTCTAAAATGAGCTCATCTTTTTCATTAAAAATGCATAGATTTGAACATTGTTTCTAGTCACAAGATTGTGTTTTGTGATTTGTGTCAGGTGATTTGATTTTATTGGATTAACATAGTTATTCAGTAATTATTCAGAAATATAGTGTAACTCACATAGATTTAAGAAAGTCTTACACAGATATAGTAACAGAGCAGTATTAATACCTCATAATACTAGGCTTTAGAGTACAAATATTTAATAACATCTCTCCTAGGGGAATTTAGATATAATTTTTAGAAGACTGTTATATTAAGTATGTTTCTTTGTGAATATTAATTTATAAAATCTGTAAACATAGTGGCACCATATTCTCCTTTAAGAGATTCATATTTTTATCCTATCAACTATGATTTATGAAACTATAAATTCTTTCTCTGATACATCAGTATCTACATTATTAGAATATTTATTGCTTTTCAAAATTTGAAAGATAAGGCTATTACTGTTAAACAAGTGAAATTATTGTTAGCTATTTTTTTCTATGGAACTGAATGGAGAAGCAAATAAATGTATGAGTTCCATATTCTGACTAGTAATAATCAGGAAAAAAGTACCTTTTAGGTTTCCAAAATTTATTGAGAAGGTCAGATCGCAAGTACACTTTATTTGGTAATAAATATTAGAAAAATAAATATTACATTGGAAACTGAGCAGAAAAATAGCAGTGTACAAATAGCAGTGTACAAATATAGCAGTGTACAAAGTTATAAAAGTGACTTCTGACAAAAGTCAGTAATAAAAATATTTAATAAAAGCTGTGATAAAAATGAAAAGGATCATGACAGAGTAGTGCCTTTTTTGCTTTTATTTTTGATGAGATTATTCATACAACTGGATTGTCTCAGAATTTAATTTTTTTATTTTGTCTTAAACATTTTCAGTTTTTAAAGTTATTTCATATACATTATTTTATTTAATTTTAGCATAACCTAGGTTTCCTACAGTTAGAAGAACATATTAGATTACAAAAATAGTAACAAACTATACTTTTCAAATTTTGTTCATACAATCTGTAGGAACTTCTTTCCTTTCAACTCTCCAGTTCTCTTCCACTTATTCTAATTTAGGTCTATTAAATCAGAATCTATCAGAGATATCTCATATGTACTGGATGATGTCCCTGGAGGCATTGTCATTTGTTTGTTCTCCTGTTCAGGCCACTTAGTCAACTTCCTGTCACTCCTAATGCTCAGTTGCCGGGTACCTTTTTGGTTTCTTCTCTGTTGCAGATGTAGGTGGACCTATCTTGCTGTTCAGCTTGTCTATTCTGAGCTCCCATGAGTCATAAAAGTCCTCTCCAGTGGAGAGAGTACCTTCTTCCCAGTGGCACTAGAGGTACATACAGTACAGGATAGTGCTGTTGTGTGTCATATAAAAATACAGTTAAATTCCTCTTTAGTTTTTTTTACATTCTAAAGGACTCTGGCACAATTCCTTGAGAGAAGAGGTCCAGCTAGAGAACAATGTGACTAGTATTAGCCAATAAAACCCCAAATAATTGTTTTTAAAGTGTATATACCTTAATTTTCTCTTCCCTGAGTGTGAGTTCTTTTCCAAAGAGCTTCTTAGTTCATTCTGCAAAGAACCTCAGGTTGGCCCAGCCATACACTTTCTTTCTATATAAATCCATACGTGTCTAAAAAAAACCCCACAGCTTAGGATTTAGGATCTTTATCACTCAAGACACCACTCAGTTTTGTTGTTGTTTTTATCAGGTAAAAAAGCTTACATAACTTTTATAAGATGTCATAAAATTTAGAACTGATACCTAGACTAAATCTAATGCTCTTGTTTACCTCTCGTTGTGAAAGAGGGAAAAGTTTCTGTGGTGTGCTCCTGAGATTCAGAGAGGCTTATTTTGCTTTCCCTTAAATATTAAGAACAAGGGGTTTCTTAAAACTGTCTTTTTGTTTATTTGTGTTTTTTAAAATATATTGAGAACCACTTTTAAAGTAAATCTGAGATACTAGCCCATCTCATTTTCTGTGTAGTGCTTTAAAGTGTAAAAACATAAATCTGTTTAATAAATTAAGTAGAATATATTGAATATGACATTATCTCCAAATTAATGTTATTCTCAGTCTCTCTATTATATCTGTTGGTAAAGTACTGAAGGAATAACTTGCATTTTTCCTAAATACTGAAGTGAGAACGCCAACCTCTTACAAAATGACAATGACTGGCAGGAATGCTCACTATTAGGATAAACAGAACTAAAGACTGTGAAAGTACTTTGGACTAGAAAATATTTAATTTCGAAGCACAACTTGCTTTTATAACTTACAGAACATTAACGTTACGAGATATTTAAGAAGTGAAACTGTGACTCCTTGCTTCTCCTTTTAATGTATTTCTATATTGGAAAGCATCTTTCATAGCATCTCACTAAGGCTTATTCTTCTTTGTGTTTTCTTTTCAGTGGGCAGTATTGACCTGTGGGCACTGTTTCTGTAATGAATGCATTTCTATAATTATTGAACAATACAGTGTGGGGTCTCACAGAAGCTCCATTAAGTGTGCCATCTGTCGCCAGACCACATCTCACAAAGAGATCTCATATGTCTTCACCTCAGAGAAAGCAAGCCAGGAAGAAGACATTCCTGTGAAGGTAAAGTAGGTCAAGAACATGTAGGTACATAGTTAGAGCAATATAATAGGAATCAATATCTGGCAAATGAGAGCATTAAAATTAGAACAAGATTGGCACAGTGAATATGTAGAAACCCCTGTTGTCCATAGAGATAGTGCCTGAAAACTTCAGCTTTACTATGTACTTCTTCATTGTGGGAGAAACACAAGAACACAGTAGTAGTCATTCCCAGTATGGCAAAAAGGTCACATCTTAATATTCCAGTTCCCCATCATCTTTCACAATATTTCTATCCACCACAAATAGATAGAGCTCTAGTTAAGTTACAGATTTGTTTAAAGAAAGCATATTCCTCATTCTTTTACTCAACTCTATATATCAGGAACAGAGGATGTGTCTAGCTAAAGTGGAGGAATTAGATTGCTTAGTGAAGACTATCACAAGAAAGAGATAATGTACTTTTAAATGGCATGGACTGATAATTCAAGGTATAGCCAAAATGTGGCTTTATTTTTCTAATTTTTTCCCATGCTTCATTCACAATCTTTTTGGCTGTTATTTTTCTAAGTTTTTCCCATGCTTCATTCACAATCTTAAGAATGTTTATATAATTTGAGATACAAACAGGATTGGATTTTCAGCCTATAGAATATTTAATGAAAACTTTTTACTAGACTTTTTTTGCTACACATCAGTATATAAATGTAGTGGCAAATGTAGACCTCAAGGAATATTTTAGAGAATGGTGGTATTGACTCTTAAGCAAGAAGAAGTAGAATCTTCTTCATTAATTCCTTCTTCTTCTGGGTCCTTGATAACTCTCTTCTCACTTATTTTTAAAGAATGTGTTTTGTGAATAAAATCAAGTTGAAATTTACTGGTAGGAATTAGGCAGTTGTTAGGGCACCCCCTTCCCAAGAAAGCTATAGTTGAATTAAAGAATTTTTAATTGCTATTTTTTCCACTGTTATTTTAGTAAAACCTGAAAATATCAATCATACTGCTCTCTAGTGCATTGGGGTAAACAGAATCCCAAAGTTGGGATGAGCATTCACTCCACACATACGTATTGGACACAAGTGTGTGCCAGGCAGTGTGCTAGGCCTTAGAGATGCAACATACATACGCTCAGGAATAAAACATACGTGGTTGCTGCCCTCAGGGAATTTGGCAGTTCAGGGTGGGGAAGAAGCTTGAGTTGGGGCAGAAAGCATAGCCATTAACAGTTAACTAATGTATAATAATTGTGATAGGCACTACAAAAGAAAATCAAACCTGGTTTCTCTAAGGGAATGACAGCTAAGACAGCTACTTAAAGGATGAATGGATTAGCCAACATGGGGAGAGTCATCTTGTGGGGAGGAAGCTCCCAGGAAGAAGAAAACACAACAAGATTGTAATTAGTGAGGCCTGAAACAAGGACTCAAATGGAACTGAATGGCTACAGTATAGAAAATAAGGAGAATGGAACTGAATGAGTCTGGAGACCTAAGGGGGGCCAAATATTGAAGGGCATCTGAAGATTTGAGAATTTTATTTTCATATAAGCAGAAATCTATTAAATATTATAAGCAGGGACATATGATGTGATTTGGATTTTGAAAAGATCCCTCTTGCTGCAGTGCGGAAAATAGCAGGAATAGAAAAGAATAGAGTAAAAATATTTGGAGAGACCAGTTTAGGAGACTACAACAGTAGTAATAGTAGCTTTGATTAGGTTGATGGTAGGGGAGATGAAATGAACTGAGTATATTAAAGAGATAAAGTTGATTAGCAAGATAGAATGTTGGAGAAATTGGTAAAGAAGATTTCATAGATGATTCCCTGGTTTCTGATGTGAAAAATCAGGTAGATAATGGTATAGTTATTAATACCAATGTAAGGTATTTGGAAGAGGAATATATTTAGACATAGTATATTCGAGATACCTAAGACATTCAAGTAGAGCTATTTAGAAAAGTGTTGCTATATGGAGATGGAGATATAGAATTCAGAGTCTCTGGCACAAAGGATATTTGAAGCCATGAGACTTTGAATGAGCTTACCTAAGGAAAGAAATAGAGAAGTTAACTTCAGATCAAGTCCTATGGAGTTCATAACTTTTTAAAGGTTGAATAAAGTGGGGAGAGGCTGGGAAAAAAAGAAATCTGAGAAAGAGCAACTAGAGACATAGGCAAACCAGGAAAGTATGCTGTCAACAAAGGCTGCAGGAAAAATCTGCTTTAGTAAGGAGGCAATAGTGTTGAAAGTAGATCAATTACAATATGGGCTAATTTGGCTAATGAGGTCATTGATGGCTTTGGAACAAGCTCTTGCGATAGAAATGTAGAGGCAAAACAGATTGGGAGGAATTGAGGAATGAACAGGAAGTGCACAGGTAGAGAAAACAAATGGCCAAAACTATTTCATAAATTTAACTATGAAGTAAAAAATTGAGAATTGCAACCAGAAGATATGAGTATAGAAAGACTTTGGGTTTTTTTGTTTTGTTTAAGACAAGAGATTCTTGAGCATGTTTAATCTCTAGCACAAAAAGATTAAAGATATAAGATAAAGAAGGGATAATCTGTAATACAAGTTTCTTAAAAAGACAGGGAGAGTGTTGAGGTATAGAGAGAATGTGAAGGTCTCACTAAGTCAAATAGCAAGTATAAGTTGGGGTATTGATAAAACAAGCTAAGCGTAGATTTTCTCACCTAAGGATGAGAGATCTTAGTCATTTCAGAGAGGACAAGTATTAAGTACTCCAGATGTGACTGTAGAAGTGGGTGACCCAAGTGAGGGGGAGAGGAAAAGATGCTAGAAGATGAAGCAATGAGACCTAAATGTTGGATGGGTTGTCCAGATGGACAGTATATAATATCTAGAATTGAAGTATAGAGTAAGTTAGGCACCAGAGTTCTTTACTGAATGTAGGGTAGGATTCAGTAGAGTATAGTGTAAAGTTAGGGGATAACTGGGCTTCATGAGGCTCAAAAGAATGGAAATTTTTATAAAAGTGAGAAATAATGATCTGAAACCTGCATTTGGGGACCAAAGCTCAAGTTCAAGGAGTATGAAGGAATAAACATCCTCCATTCCATATGCTCAAAGAATAGCCAGGTTCTATAATAATTAAAGCAAAGAAGTTGAAGAGTAGTATTTCCACAAGAGTTGGAACATGTGAGTTTCTTGATCATAAAATATGAGTTCCATGGGGTACCAGCAAAGGGTTCAGGAGTGGAAGAAAAAAGTGAGAGGGTGAACAAGCAGGAGGGAACTGCAGAATGGTATGGGAATAACAGAATGGGCATAGATAAGTGATATGGGGATCATTACCTCAGGATCATCTAGTCCTGTTCCCTACCTTTGAATCCCCTGGATAAATGTATACACTCCACCCTCTGTGCCATGGATTCAACCAACTATGGGTTGAAAATATTTGGAAAAAGAAAAAATTCCACAAAGTTCCAAAAAGCAAAACTTGAATTTGGGGAATGCTGAGTATGCTGTTAAATCCAGGAGAATTAAGTGATGTGTAGGCATTGTATTAGGTATTATGAGTAATCTAGAGATGATTTAAAGTATACAGAAGGATATGTGTAGGTTATATGCAAATATTATGCCATTTTATGTTAATACAATTGACTAGAGCATCCTCAGATTTTGGTATCCACAGTATCCCCAAAACCAGTCCCTTGTGGATACGGAGGGAGAACTGTATTTTTAAAGCAAATGCCAAAAGAGTTGCTGAATGAAGAGGTGACCTTTAGGGCAGCTCTGAGGCATTTGGTGGTTATACTTTATCCTGCTCACCACACAAAGAACTGCTCTCCTTCCCAGTCCCTCCTTCCTCTGTTCTTCACACTCCTATAGTTTTTCTCTCCTTTCCTTCCCATAAAGATAGTCTTTCTTAGGCCTTTTTTCTTTTTCTTCTCTCTCTTCCTCTGGCCACAGTCATCCCAAGGGCCATAGATGGCATTTATGGCTAAGAAGAGTGGTTCACCCTTAGATGAAAGCATTTATCACAGTACAAGGAACAGTGTAAGAAAGGACTGCTGTGTCAGGCTTCCTGCAGGGAGGTTGAGGAAGTGATTACTGTAGCTACCAGTAAACACAGCCTCTCTGAAACTGAGTCATTGAGCCCATCACACCCAAACACCTGTTCATTTTATGGCAGCTCTCCTGGACACCCAGGGTAGAGATCAGTACAGTTCCATTTGCTGTCCTGTTGGGACGCGGGGATATCAGAGTATAAATACTGTTTATTATACTCTCACTTCTTCCTGGGTGTTAATGAACACATGAATTAATTGAATCATCTTATAAAACATAAAATTCTAGAATTTACTAATGCTAATAATTTTCTTCTTATGATAGATGCATGTATACTTGCATTTCCTTTATATTGAACCCATGAATGAATATTGTACCTATTTTACAAGCAAGTTTTATAGCTCCTCCATGTCCTCACATTGCTTCATGCCACTTTTACATTTGCTCTTCACTGCCTTTTCTGTCACCATTTGTGTCTGCCACATCTGCCTTCTGCTCTCTGTCCTCTTTTCTGGCTTCTGTCACATATCTGCCCTACTATCTGTCACTTTCTCCTTTAAGCATCTGCTTATTATATTCTCATACTTTACCTCACTCTTCTGACTTTCTGAAATTTCCACATTAAAGAGTCATATTACCTATCTGGGACTTGAGGAAGTGATCTTATATAAATAAAGATGGTTCTATGTGAATAATTAAGACTTCATTTTCAAATTTTAGAACATTTAGTTTAAACTACTTCTAAACCCAGGTTTTTTTTCCTTTTTATCATTGTTGATTATCAAATGGCTGATCTTTAATAAACAATACTGATAAGTAATTTTTTATTTCATTGAAGTTTTTGTATTATCTGAAATGGATATTTGATTGTATTTATGTTAAGAATCTTGAAGATAGCAAACAATATAATACGATATCATGCATAGTACTTAATCATATAGCTGGTCTGCAGATTAAAGATATTTGGATAACATAAAACTGGT